GATATAAGATTTTTCCCTTCAGTCATGCTGTGAGATGGCTCATGGGAAATGGCACCATACAACAAGTGGATTGTCACTAGTGCTCCAACTTTTGGCATATTTCATCATATTCTGAAACATATTTAAAACAAAGTAGTTCAAAGACATTCAAATGGAGTATATAGGAGTTTCTATTTTTAATAAAAGATCATATAAAAACCCTCAGACATAACAGAGCTATTTTTACTATTGCAAGTTGATGCCAGCTATAATGATCCATTCATATAATATATTAAAATAGTGTTAATTTAATATGTCACAAAAATAAAATATCCTATTATTCCAGTTAATACCTACCATGCTTTTTGTATTTTGTGTATGATTGTACCATGCAATCTGTAGGAGTACAGAGACATCTAAAGGCAAAACTGAGGATGCACAGCCTAAGATTTTCTGAGCGTTAAAAGAATAACCATTACTAAATTAGTAGGTTATGGCACGTATAAATATGCTTTTGGTAAATTTAAAAGAAACCTGTCATTCTCATGTCATGTGGATAGCAATGTCAACTTCGCGTAGCTGTGTATTAAATTTCCAATTTGGACCAAAACCTATAATGGTGAAGGCAAAACATATATGGGACACATACAACAACCACACTGATAACACAACAACATAATGGCTGATGGAAAGTAAGAATGGCATCCGTGGTGTGGCGCAGATGAGATCAGGTCCTATCACGTGAACTAACAATAATTCGGCCACGGACGATACTTGCTTGCCACCCTCCCCTACGGACGCAGGTCGCCCCGCCAAACCAGCAGGACAACCAAGGGTCATCCCTTCTCCCTTCGCTTGATAACCCCCCTTTTCCCTCCTTTCTTCCTCTCTTTTCTCCCCCCCCCCTTTCAACATTAACCTCCCCACAAAATGCTTGGGGCATGTGATATGCATTATTTATGCACCTAACGACAGCAAGTAATGTCTATACTAAAATGTCTACTATAAATGTAAACAGGACACATTAACCTATGTTTAGTCGTGAAGAATATACTAAAGGCACACACGTGTTTATAATGTAATCGCATGTCTCAATAAAAATTGTCAAAAATTGTCAAATTTAGGGCACTGGGAGCCCTACAGATGTGTAAGTTGTTGTGGTGACAGTCCGGGCCCTGGGAGCCCTATAGATATGTAAGTGGTTGTTGTGGCAGTTCTGGCACTGGTAGCACCCTGCCCATTACTCTAAAAGAAACAGAAAATAACCAATATAAGTGCAGATTGTCTGGGGCTTGGTTAAAGACACACAACAGATATATTGGGCTAACACTCAAATATAATAGAGCTAGAGACCAGCTCTGAGTAAAACAGCATACAGGTACAACCCCCACTGATGAATGTGTAGCTCTGCAGGTCAGCCTCACAGCTTACAGATGAATATATAGAAATAAAACAAAAGCAAACAGTGCTTACTGTGTTAAAACCAATAAACAGTCAAATGGTAGTTTACTCACATTTAATAGAGCAGTGGACACCGTTTAGCATTCGCTCCCTATTCTAAGCAGTCCTGTTGATTATTCAAGAGGACATGCACTCCCTCACGGGCAGAATAAGAGAGATGGAGGAGGATGTTATTGAGCTTTAGACCAAGCAGGCCACAATGCAATAGTCGCAAGAAATGGTATTATGTGCCTAAGAAGACATAACAGCAAAATTGTCGGAACAGGAGAACAGAACCCGACACAACAATGTGGATTTCCGAAGAGGTGGTTGCGGCTGAACTGCCTCACTACTTACTTTGCCTGTTTCTCAACCAACTACCACCTATAAGAGCCAAGGCTATTATCCTGGATGGCAACCTTTGCATACAGAAGCCGACCAAGGTCCCAGTTCATCCACAAGGCAGCTCATTGTACAATTTGTTCCATTGCTAGACAAAATGGTAGTTCTTTCTGTGGTCCTGGTCTCCTCTGCCTGTGAATTTGAATCATACATGCTTACCTTGGACACCGATCTGTCCAATCTACTCTGCAGTGGAGACGTTCTCCCAGTCTGGTGAGTGGCACTCTTCGGGAGCATGGTGTTCCTTACTGAAGGGGTAGTCCCTGTTACCAAGTTACCAAGGACTCACTCTCCCAACAGGCTCAAGGACATCACTGAGTCTCAGGCCTTTTTTCAAGCTCTGGTTCTTACCATCACTGACCCCTACGGCTGGGCAACTTGCCTGGGATATCGATAAGGTGTGATCCTTCATCCCTACCAATAATCGACCACTGTCGGTCAAAAGCGATCTGAATGGCTGAAACTGTACATGCTTTCTTTTACTTTTTTGTTATTATTTCTGCATTTCCTCCCTCCTTGGGCTACTTTGTTCACACTTTCGTATTCCTGCGTCTCACCATTTCTCAGCATCCTTTTCTATGCCGAATGCAAACAGACTCAATAGGCCTTGTACGCCACTACAGACTGTGACGGTATATAATTTTTTCCTCTTTGTTAAAACTTATATGTGCACAGGCCTACACCTTCTTCTACTGTATTTGAAAGCAAATGTAGCACCAACATAGGGCCCAATATGCTCACATTATTGCCTCCTCACCTGCCATTACACGTCTATGTACTTAGACATTCATTGTTATATCTATATTTGGGTAATACTGCACTAGGATTACTGCTTGCACAATCTCATATACCTAAGGTTTCTGGGTTTTTGACTTGTTTAGGCTAGTTCTCTCTGATTTTACCACCCAGAATGAGGCTACAAAAATCTCACTTAAGTATAGGTTCTTTTACTCTTCCACAACATTGGGCTGGAATGGGAGGATCAGACAACCCCACAAGGGCTGCGACTATGCTTATGTTTGGATATTTATTTTTTTGTTTGTTTTTATAAGGAATCACAAGCCTATATTTACTTTTTTTTCCACCTTCTTTTATTCCGGAACGAGAGCTGTGCAGTTAACATGCTCAATAAGCCTACTTCAATCCCCCCATGAGCAAATATATAATGAAAGGCACTTGGTTCTTTACTGTTGTGATTAAGTTAAAACAGCACTGTATTATTAATTTATTTATTTTTTGCTTCATTTGCTTATTTACCGTAACTACATTTTATTTATTGACTTAGGATACTGTTACACGTTGTGGCAGCATTTATCTCAGCTTAGAAACATAGAAACATAGAAACATAGAATGTGACGGCAGATAAGAACCATTTGGCCCATCTAGTCTGCCCAATTTTCTAAATACTTTCATTAGTCCCTAGTCTTATCTTATAGTTAGGATAGCCTTATGCCTATCCCACGCATGCTTAAACTCCTTTACTGTGTTAACTTCTACCACCTCAGCTGGAAGGCTATTCCATGCATCCACTACCCTCTCAGTAAAGTAATACTTCCTGATATTATTTTTAAACCTTTGTCCCTCTAATTTAAGACTATGTCCTCTTGTTGTGTTAGTTCTCCTTCTTTTAAATATAGTCTCCTCCTTTACTGTGTTGATTCCCTTTATATATTTAAATGTTTCTCTCATATCCCCCCTGTCTCGTCTTTCCTCCAAGCTATACATGTTAAGATCCTTTAACCTTTCCTGGTAAGTTTTATCCCGCAATCCATGAACCAGTTTAGTAGCCCTTCTCTGAACGCTCTCTAAGGTATCAATATCCTTCTGAAGATACGGTCTCCAGTACTGTGTACTGCTTGTGAGATTAAAGGATCACTATAGTGTCAGGAAAACAAATCGGTTTTCCTGACACTATAGTACTCAGGGTCTCCCTCCCGTGGTGCTGAAGGGGTTAGAGCCCCTTCGGTTACTCCCCCTTTTCCACCGCCGGGCTCCCTTACCTCTCCTCCCCCGCCGACGTCAATGGAGCGGAATGCACATTTGCGGCAGTGCAGCACGCGCATTCAAAGTGTCCATAGGAAAGCATTTTTCAATGTTTTCCTATGGACGCTCTGCGTGATGGAGGCATAATATGCCTCCAGCGTCGCAGATGCGCCTCTAGTGGCTGTCCGGAAGACAGCCACTAGAGCCTCGCTTAAACCCAAATGTAAACATAGCAGTGAAACTGCTATGTTTGCATCTGAAGGGTTAAAACCTGAGGGACCTGGCACCCAGACCACTTCATTGAGCTGAAGTGGTCTGGGTGACTATAGTGTCCCTTTAATTTCCTCTTTTTTTGGGTTTATTTTATAGAATTGGGGTTGGCCCCGAGACACCCCTGAATTGTCTCACTGGTGTGTGGACCCCGTGGAGGGGTATATGCGCACAGATATATATACACATTGATTTGTGTATGTGGGTGTATCCCGTCACTAATTATTTCACTTTTTTGTGTATTATAAATCAAACTTGTTTCATCTGCTCGGCTTAGGGTGGCGCCTACTTAACGCTCTGATCCTCTATGGCAGGGGAACACAAAAGGTAGGTCCCCAGATGTAAAACTCCCATGATGCTTTAGAATGACAAAGCATCCTGGGAGCTGTAGTTTTAAAATATCTGGGGATCTACCCTTTGGGCCCCTGTTATACACTTACTACCTGGGTTGACGCTTTCACTATTATATTATATTATGTTATATTATGTTATATTATATTATGTTATATTATATTATGTTATATTATATTATATTATGTTATATTATATTATATAATGTTATATTATATTATATTATGTTATATTATATTATGTTATATTATATTATTTTATATTATATTATATTATATTATATTATATTATATCAATAGAAAGCGGTGCTGTAACCGTGACATGGTCACTCTGTTCCTGTGGTATTGTTATTAATAGGTTGGTTTTATTTTGAGTGCAGTGCAAAATAAAGAATATTAAAAAAAAAAGGAATGATTATTATTAATAATAATAGAAATATTTTGACACACATGGACATTCATGTTTTGTGCTTAGTGATAAACTAATAAAACCCTTGGCTCCTTGTTGGCTACCTAGCAGTGGGCAAAGCCTCGGCCGTTGCCATGGCGACTGCTCTAGGGGGTGGGGGTGGTGTCACGTGACCGGCACATTCTCCCGACGACATCTCTACGTCACTGGGCTCCATGCGCCAGCCCCGCTAGGCGCCACGCCTTGCGCCTCCGTGACGTCACATCACGCTGCTTTCCCCACCGTAGTTCCCTGTTTCGGGGCCCGGTGTGAGATAGGTGAGACTCGGGGAGTTCGGTAACGGCGGTGACAGACTGATACACGGGGAAACAGGGCTGTGGGGGGCGGGGTCTCCGAGCATCCTGTGTCAGGGCCACATAGGCGCCAAAGGAACTGGGAGGGGGGAGAGCTGGGAGTCCTAGGGGGGAGTTAGAAACATTAAGGGGGACAGTCTTAGTGGGGAGTCAGACAGTAAGGGGGGGACAGTCCAAGGGGGGACAGTCTTAGTGGGGAGTCAGACAGTAAGGGGGGGACAGTCTTAGTGGGGAGTCAGACAGTAAGGGGACAGTCTTAGTGGGAAGTTAAACATTTAAGGGGGGGAATATTAGTGGGAAGTTAAACATTTAAGGGGGGGAATATTAGTGGGAAGTCAGATAGTAAGGGGGGGAGGTATACTGGGGTATCAAAGACAGTAACTGGGGCAGCCTTTTGTGGGAAGTCAGCCAAGGGGAGAGTGTTAGTGGGGTGTCAGAGACAGTAGGGGGGAGTTATAGTGGGGTATCAGAGACAGTAAGGGGGCACACTTAGTGGGGTGTCAGAGACAGTAAGGGGGCACACTTAGTGGGGTGTCAGAGGCAGTAAGGGGGCACACTTAGTGGGGTGTCAGAGGCAGTAAGAAGGTAGGTAGGAAGGGAGACACGTGGTGAAGGGCTATTTTTTTCTTTACTAAATAGTTTTGGGGTACTCTGGACCTCCAGCACTGTAAGGGCCACACACAGGAAGGTTAGGGGACCATTAAAACTCACAACCTGGGATATGGCTTTAAGGTAACCTGGATCATAGGCAGACAAGGGACACTGGCAATTAAGCAGCAAAAAGAAATTTATAAGATTATCTGGTAAGTATAGCGTGTGTGCTGCATCTTTTCCATTCCCTGACTGCTTTTGATATGTCTGGATCTAATAATACCTAGTTATGCTAATATTTATTATTATTGTAAATGAAATGCGAGCTGTACGCTCTTGTATTCAACTAATGTGACTCCTAAAATTCCACGTCTGGCAGGTTTATGCGTTAAATTGTGACTTTCCATAAGTTGAAAGTGAATTTTACATTTTTGTAACTGTTTTGGCTTAGAATTCCGCTTTTAATTCCGGACCATTCACAGTTTAGAGAGTAATCCCAAGGGACTCAAACTGTTGGCGCTCCAGATCTAGTTTGGCTGCAGCTCCAACAATTCTCTGTCGAACACATCTGGGAGAGGGATTGATGTTTGGTACTTCTGTGCTTAATTATATTAGAATCTCAAATCTTGCTTTATTTATTTTAAGGCAGACTAGACTTGCAAAAAGCTATGGTGCCAGTTTGTTTATGTTGTAGTAAAAAATAACCGAACTGGAGAAAGTCAGCTAGGTTTTGGTTTGGCTACTCTGATCGGAAATATAAAATTAACTTTGAATTCTCACTTGTTAAAAAAAAAAAAAAAAAAACCTGCATGTCTAGTGACAGAAGCCTGCAGGCTTAATGTCAGAGGTCAAATTTGCAAAAAGTTTAGTTTTAACGAAGGATTATTTACTAATGTGTGAATTGCAGGGGATTAGTAACGAATTTTAAGACTAAACCAAATTATATATTTTTTTAAATCCCAAATTATCTGTATTTTCAGTTTGACTCTTTTAATCAAAAATGTTAAACTCAGTTTTAGGTCTGGACAATTACAACTTGTTTATCCACAAAAATACTCATGTTAATATGTATATAATTCTACTTTGTATTGCATCTGTTAACCATGCAGAATGTATGTAGTGGCACGAGTTCTGTGAATTAGTGACCAGCTTAATGTGCTGCATTTGTAGGTTGCTAATTACACAGAGACCTTTTATATTTCCTGGAGATAGGCCGTTTTACATTTAAAGCTGTATGTTATTTGGCCAACATTAAATCTCATGTGTGGCTTTCATTTCATCCTGTATTATTTGAAGTTAGTCATGTGCTCTTGACCAAACTGTGTCGTTCTAACATTTGTCCTCTGAAGTTACTATTTTGCTATCTGTTCTATGACTGACATGCCTTCCTTTATCCCGGACATTCTGATAGAATTCTGCAACTTCTAACTTTCTTCTGCAACAGATAATGAACTACATGTCCGCCCATTTCATGCTTTACGTTAATTGCCAAATACTAGAGACCATTATAGTGACTGTTCAATTTCCGGTTGTTTGTTGCATAATGTATTTAACCTTTAATTTTCCTTTTTGGTTATATAACATCAGGCACTCACTCAACAGTGGACTAGCACAACCATCATTCTTTTCAGCATGCTGGGAGTTGTATTTCATCAACAGTTGCAGAGGTGTTTATTGTGCAGCCTGCCACTGAGCACCTGATGAAATGTATTTGTGCTTGTTTTTTTTAATGCAATCACCATATGTTCTATGTTGTGTTTTTGGTCTAAAGTGGGACTATCAACACCCCCACCCACCCAGTAGAGTATTTAATAACGATAAAAACTTCATGAAACACTCACATTGACTTTGTTGGAATTTCACTGAAATTCAATTGCAGTTAAAAGATATACTAAGACAATATTTGCTGAACCTGACAAATGTGAAAAAAGGCAGAGCTACTGCCATCAAGCTTTGTCGTGGAGGCTTTGTCTGTGGAGGCTCCCTCCATAGACTTCAGTGTCTTATTCTTGTGCAGGCGTGAGAGTACAACACTAATGTGGACTCCAGTCAGGTAAAATACCAGGATCTGAAGCACACCTAGGCAGCTGCCTAGGAGGACATGTTCAATCCATTGTACAGCGCTACGGAATGTGATGGCGCTATATAATAAAATAATAATTAAGTGGCTCTGTCACCTGAAACTTGCCTTTCTCTTATTGTTTCCTTTTCTGTTCTTCTTTCCTAGTCTGTTCTTATTTTATTCATTTCTGCTTTATTTCTCTTTAAAACAAAAGACAAAGTAGGGACTACTTTGTATTTTATATATTTTTCCTACGCCTAACAATTGTGACAAAAGGGTGGAACTTGAGGCTCCACTTGCTTTGTCAAGCTAACTTTCCCACAATACTCACGTCTATCCTGATCATCCTCCGTTGCCTGATGAGATATTTAAACGCTGCTCGGTTCCATTTTCATCACTCGCGGCTTACTGACTATGGGCAGCCATCTCCAAAGTGCTCCCTGTTGCTTACTGTGGGAAAGAGAAGGTAGTGACTTTGTATCACTGCCAGCAATTGGAAGATGACAGTGCCACAAAGAGGAGTGCAACTGGAGGTGAGGTGTGTGATTTTATTTTTATTTTTTTAAGAGAAAAAAAAATGAAAAGTGGAAAGTTAGGGGGATAGCCTTTGCAATCCATGCAGTGACCTCCGACTGTGACAGTGACCCCATTTTAAAATAATATTTCTTTTTGAGGTTGTTGTATAACAATATATGTGGAATATAAGAGCCAAATGTTTTGTACATAGCCAGTGAAACAATTGTAGTGAGATATAAAAACACTAATGTTAGACATTTGTGACATTTGTAACATATTTGGAGACACTGGGATAATGGATCAGGGTTTTGTCAAATGTATTAGAAGTTTAACATGAATCTAGTCACGTTGATATAATATGTAAGGTATTCTTTCACTTTAGTAGAAGATGTTGCTGTACACTGTTGCATATTGTGCAAAATAGTTAATGAGTGTTTGTGAAACATGTGACTTCTGCACCACCCCTCTTGTTAGAAGAAGTAATAGACCCTCAATGGACCTGGTCAGCTGATCTTGATAAATCATTGTAATGATTACTTTTGTAGATAAATAAATAATTTGAGAAGTTTTTCTACCAGATTGTGATCATTTGAAAAGCTTATCCAAAAGAATAAAATTGAGGCCTTTGTTTGATATGCCCTGCTGTTCTCCATTTTATATAGGCAGTGTAAATCTCTACATACCTTTCTGTCTCCATATCATAGAATATGACTCTTCCAGGCCGCAAGAAAAAAAAAATCAGGTGTTTAAAACGTTTAGAATCATTTGATGTTGTAATATACTTCAGCATTATTGCAACTCTATTCATAATTAATATGTTCTAAAATGCTATTGCTGCCTTGTCGGTTGTAGGCTAAATGTTAATGCAGGGCGGATATTTCACAGTCCACCACCCACGGCCAGCGGTTGGTGTGCTCTAGAATAATACATAGGGACATGCCAGTGTGCCCCCATGTGCGATGGGTATGGCTATAGTATAGAAATAAGGGGGGCATGCCCTTGTCACCTTCCCCCCAACCAGTTTCCAACTATAGCTGGCAGATGGGTGCTTTAAAATTGGACCATTAGCAATGGACTTACCATCATACACTACCCCCACATGGCCATCGGATAAGGGGTAGAAGAATAATAAGAAGGGTGGCCATTTCATTGTCCACACCCTTTTCTTTATTTTATTTTCTTCTTCTTACAAAAAGCCCTTATTGGGGCTGAAATATTGCTGGTGGGCTCCTTGTTCTGGGAATACATGAGTGCTGGATCCTTTTTTTTTTATATCTATTGTCGCTGAAAACTGCCAGCTCAGAGTTAAAGGGAAAATATAGTCACCAAAACAACTTTACCTTAATAAAGCGGTTTTGAGCAGTGAGACTGCAGGGGCATAAATTCTACACCAAAACATCCCCTTTAAGCCTGGAGGTGCATGGCTTAACTAATTGACTAAGAGTGATCAGCTGATGCTCTCAGCCAATGACTGAGCCCTGAACTGCAGGGCTTCTCTCAGGATAGCTAGGAGCAGTGCCAGGTGACCCTGTCTTGAAATAATTACACTGGGAGGGGGTGACAGGGAAGTCCTTATACGACCATGACCTGCACCGGGAGCAGAAGAGCAGTGGCTAGGAGAGGATGGCTGTGCCCACGAGGAACAGGTTCAAATAGGTAACACTCATTTTTCCCTGCTCCGCCGACCACCAGAGCCACAGCAGTGATGTCACCGTCGGTGGTCTTTACATATAATGCAAAGTCCCCAGATGGTGAGAATTCCGCATTAATGTGATAGTGCACCTTGAAATGCATGGTATGCACAGAAAACATTGAGCATGCTAGTAGAACCACTTTCTGGTTGCACTAATTAGTTAAATCTATTTTTTCTGGCTACGGTGTCACAACAGTTTCTAGTATGGTGTAAATTCTGAGATCTTCAAAGCTTTTAAATTCCGTCAAACTTTGTCAGGCCCGCAGCTGTCACTAGTGGTAGAGGGAAAAAGGGCTTAAATTGTCTATGTAGAATCCCATGGTCTTGCAGGATCTTCCACAGGCATTACTTTTGTGCATGCACAAGAGCACAGCATTGACATTTGCTCCTGAAATGAAGTACCAAGAGTGGAAATTGATCCCATGGAAGTAGAGTGCTCTCGCAAGCGAGCAATGTAGCAGTCAGTCAATGTCACCGGAAGGTGGCAGACACTGCTTTAAGAAACTTGGGGTTGGTAATGGGTGCTGGTAAAAACCAAGTTTTGATAAAAATAAAAAGTTTGAGGGAAAGCAAGATGGAATGAATTGTAGTGGTTAGTGTCCATACTGTCCCTTTAATTCCCTGTTAAATGTTTACATTACAGTGGAATTTCCTCTGTTTACTAGTGAGAGTTTTGATAGTGTTTATTGCAGGTTGTCTGCCAGTCATAGGAAGTAAACTTATTTATTCTTAAAAGAACAGACTTCAAAATCCAAATAATGACAAGATGGGAAGGCATTAGGCATTAGGACTTTGTGTACACAGGATATGAGGGCTTTACTTGGGAGATAATCTGTTCCAGGGTTTTAGCAGGGCAATAAACCTAGCTAATAAAATGTTATCTTTATTAGGATTATTCACTAGACTTTGAATTGTAGCAAATTGGAATCTGAATGGCCCAATTCACGTTAACATTGCCAATCTTTGATCAATCATTTCTTACATTTGCCTGATTTCAATTCGCCACAAATTCAGAGTTTAGAGAAAAACCCCAAAGGGTGAATTATCTGGAATTTAAAATTTTAAGATAATCAAGCTGAAAATAAACCAGAAATGATCCAGGTTAGTCAAGACCATCATCTCTTCTTAATTTTCTAGTACGTTTAACAATCCATGGTTTAGGAAAGGCATCAGAACAGCAAATATTTAATAATGGTGATAAATATAATGGTAAAGAAAATAGTGTTCATCGAAAAGGTAATATTAAGTGGTGGATGGATTGGAAGAATAGAAAGGCTGGGTACAAGGGAGAAGGAAGAAAGAGGGGGTGGATGAATTTTAATGTACTCGAGGTAAAGGGAATGTGCGCAGGTGACAGCAGTTATCAACCAGCCAAACACAAAAACACAGAAATAGGGCAAATTTAAATTGAGGCTATCAAAGCAGCAAGATAGGTCTTCTAGGGGGTGCTGCAGGTTCTGTTGTGGGTGAGGATAGGGAGCTTAGCTGGCAATTCCACCATGTTGTGTACAAGCCTAACTTTGTCCATCAGAATCCAGAGCAATAAAAAAGTATCCAGCTAAGCCATTATATCATGCTATCATTTCCCACTTCTGCAAGTTTTTGATCTAATTCATGTAAATTAATCACTAGCTTTTCTTTTTTTTGTTCAGTGCAAAGAGGTAAAAAAAAATCAAATATATGTATCTAATCTGATAATCTAAACATAAGAAATAAAATAATTGCACATAAATACAAATAAAATATAAACCACCTCACTTTTGCTGTCAGTTGATTTATTAGTTGGTTATTAGTGAATGGAAAGTCTCACAGCTGCACTCAGTTTTGCTGACTGGATTGCTTAAAGGACCACTATAGTGCCAGGAAAACATACTTGTCCGGCTCTGGGGAGAGGAAAGGGGTTAAAACTTACCTTTTTCCAGCGCTGGGCGGGGAGCTCTCCTCTTCCGATCCTCCTCCTCTCCGCCCATTCGGCTGAATGCACACGCGCGGCAAGAGCTGCGCGCGCATTCAGCCGGTCGCATAGGAAAGCATTTACAATGCTTTCCTATGGACGCTTGCGTGCTCTCACTGTGATTTTCACAGTGAGAATCACGCAAGCGCCTCTAACTGTCAATGAGACAGCGCTAGACTGGAGAGCTTAACCCATTTATAAACATAGCAGTTTCTCTGAAACTGCTATGTTTATAAAAAAAAAATGGGTTAACCCTAGCTGGACCTGGCACCCAGACCACTTCATTAAGCTGAAGTGGTCTGGGTGCCTAGAGTGGTCCTTTAAAGAAATACAATAGTGTCATGAATACAAACATGTATACCTGGCACTATAGTGTTTAACTATTTAGGTGACTGCTCCCCCCTCCAATCTCCTCAAAAAGATGATTTTACTTTTTCTCTCACGCTGCAGCGGTCCCGCCACGGATGGTCCCGCCTCCATGGAAGAGCCAATCTCGGCCAATCCAGTGCTTTCTCATAAAGCATTGGGATCTACTGCGCATGCGCAACAAAATGCTACTTTGCACCAATCAGCATCTCCTCATAGAGATACATTAAATCAATGCATCTCTATGGGAAACGTGCCTCAATCCAAAGTGTGGAGACTCTTAACGTCAGTGCACACTGTGCAGCATTGGACTAGGATACATCTAGAGTGACTGTCACTAGAAGTGTTCCTATGCAGCAATGTAACCACTGCATTGTATCTGAAAAGGCAGCTTTTACAGTGCTCAGCCTGCAGGGACAGGCTATTGACACCAGAACCACTACATTAAACTGGTAACTATAGCGCCCCTTTAAAAGCTTAGTCCAAGCACTATAACCACTGCAGTGGTTTTGAAGTGGTGCCTGCAGTCTGTATTTGCAACATTTCATGATGCACATACAGAGTATAAACATTCTGCTGCCGGAAGTGGAACTCCCTAACTGGCAAACGTCAGTAGATGCACCTTCCCCCATGCTGCCCATGTCCTACACTCATGCTGCCTTCCCTGACATAACTCCAGCTCCCGAGGAGGATCAGGTTGCAGGGAGAATTTGCCTTCAGTGCTGGAACAAAAGTAAGTTTATCCTTGAAAGTGCACCTAAAATACCAGCAGTACTTTGTGCTAGCCAAACTGTCAGCAACAAGTACTAACTTATTGTACAACTATACTGGTGGTTCTGCAACTAGCCACTCCAACATCACAGTACTTGTAGCTAAATCCAGAAATATTTCTGCTGATTGTAGTGGCGGTGGCACGCTGCAGATAAGGTAAGAATGAACAACTTCGTAAATTGTCAAAATATTTATCACTCAGATACATTATGCAGAAGAAGATGGCAAGACTTAAAGGGAAACATTTATGGCCGGTTCACATGCTATGTAAAACCTAAAGTATCTGCAAAGTTTCATGTTCATTCTGCATTTGTTTACTTTTGCATATACAAAAGCAGGATCAGAAAAAGATTAGTGTTGCTTTAAATGCTATATCTTTATTAAAGGACCACTATAGGCACCCAGACCACATCAGCTCAATGAAGTGGTCTGGGTGCTAGGTCCCTCTAGTTTTAATCCTGCAGCTGAAAACAGCAACTAATCTACATGCTTACCTGTACAAACTTTCAGAAGCTGCAACCAGTTAAAGCTCTATTGATTCAGAAAAGTCACCTGTAAATATCTACCATCCTAAATATATAATTTTCAAGGTCAAGCATATGGATATAAAAATAACTTTTTTTTGTCCACCTTGAACTTCACACATAGCCTTCTCTACAGAGAGATAAGCGCAAATCTGGCCAGTAGGTCACCTTGTTATATTAATGCCCCTCAAGGACTTTTAGATTTGGCTTAAAGCCTATCTCTAACACTTTTGTTAAACTGTACCTGTAGGGCTGTGCTGCAAAGTGAGTGACGAATACAGTAAGAGAACCATCCTACAAGTGATTTTCTTTGTCTACAATACAGCATTTGCAGTGTATGTGCGGAAGTAACAGTGATTACTCCTCCAATGAATGGGTATCAGGCTTTGTTAGGTTGAATGATTAATGGCAAATTTTATGTAGCCTCTGTACGTCTTGTTTGAAGTAATTCCCCTGGGTTGTAGTTTCTGTAGTGCTTTATTCTTCAGAGACCAGTAAATAAACATGCCTGTGAATCCTCGTGTTCCTATTGATTTCAGTGAGACACATAATCACATGACCAAAAGTGTGTGAACACATACATACTTGCTGTACATTGCCTTTCCTCCCTCAAATAAGCATTTTGTGGGGTTTTTCCCCCCTTGCTGATAAAACAACCTTTAGTTTTCTCAGAATCGTTTCCAATAAACTATTAAATCCACAAGTGAGGTAGGACACAGATGTTGGGCTCTGACTTGCATTCGTTCTTATGTCATCCCGAAGCTGTTCAGGGTAGTTAAGGTTAGGTCTATATACATCCATGCTTTGTACTTTTGTGTACGCGTGTGTTGTCATGTTAAAACAGGAAATTGCTTCCGTAAACTACGATCACAAAGTTGTAAGCACTAAAGATTCTAGAATGTAGGACTTATTCTGCAATGGTAATATATTGAGGACCTAAATGGCCTAGTAGGCATGAAAGGAATTCCCATTCTATTATTCCTCATTGATAAAACGTGATAGATGTCACTATACAGTCAGGCTGGCTGCGTTCTCTGTGAGATTACTAGATGTTGATATTTGATTGAGTCAAATGACAGTGAGCTTTACACTGCTATCTGAAGCTTGTCATGTAGATTTCCTTCACCTAAACCAAAGCTCGGTCATAAAACTCCAAAGGAGCCGTTTTCATTCTACTTTTGCTTCTGATTGTGGACTATAATTAACTCTCTATATCTTTAGAGATTTTTTTGTTTTTGTTCTTTTGTAATTAAATACAGATTATACAGTCAGTTGTTCACTAAAGTAAGAAATAAAAATGAACTTGACGTTTAAAGGGACTCTCCAGTCCGTTTAATGAATAACCTTGTATTTTGACATATTTGATAGAAACACATAACTGTACTTTCTCATATAGGCACATAACTAGCCTCCCAGACATACACAAGTAACCACTCACATACACACATTTAGTACTTTATTACTCAGAGAAACACACATACATGCAAAACACATTTGTAGAAATAAATTCCTCCATTCTCCATGCTGCTATTACTAAGTTTGAAATAAGATAGTGAGGTTTGTAGCAATCCCTGGTATAAAGCGGCTGTCTCTCCATCTCTGGTGTATGAGATTGTGCCAGGCTCTTCTTGCATTCCTGTGCGCCATACGGTGCTGGTAGATGTCGACATCAGTCTGGCCGTTAAGAGTCATGGTACTGTGAAAAGTGCACAAAATATATTTGCTTATATTAGGGCAAAAATTGGGAAATAGTGAATCAAATTCAAAGTTTAAATGAATTGCTTTTTTGGTCAGTAGACCATTTTGCCTTCATGCTAAATTACAACTAGCCATGTGCTACAGAGAAACTGTAGAAAAATAAAACGCGCCAAAGAAATTTGTGTTGGTCACCGTTGTGGTCTGGGAAGTAAACGGTGTGTTTTGTTTCGATTAGGCTGTGGAAACTGTTTTATTGTAATTATTCAAGTAATGTGTCATCAGTTCATCCCACTGTACAGCGCTATGGAATTTGCTGGTGCTTTATAAATAATAATAATAATCACAGTGTTCACTGAATAGATTCCAAACCAAAAAGAAATTTAACACATCTTTTTTGTTGTTTTTGTTTTTTATTTTTTTGGACCTGTGTTTGTGTGAATTAGGTATGAGATTGACAGGCATCTGTTGTGCCCCAGGGAAAAGCCTCACTGGTGATAATTATATCTGAATTCTGTTGCAAAAGGAAAAACCTGATAAGTTTGTTGTATTGTCTGGCCACTTTGGTCAGGATTCGTTGACAGCATAAACAAAATCACTGGGACAATGGGCTTTCTAAAGCACACTGTATGGTTTATTGGAATTAAAAATCACTGGAACAAGACTTTACTTAACTGTGGCACCTCAGGAAGGTCTGTGCTGAGTTAGAGATAGTCACCAAAGTTTTTCTTTGTTGCATTTGCCATACGTATTCGGGTGCACTACAAGCACCCATGGATTATTTCAGTTAGTTATGCTGTGCTGTGAATGTCTATTTTTTTCTTCTCCATCAGTATTTCTAATTTGTGTTGCTCCACAAGCCCACTGTGTATGTCCTTCCTTCACAACCTGCTCTGTTTTCCTTTCTCTGCTAATATAATGTGGTACATGATGCCATGACTTAGGGTTCTAGTTGACCTTTTGGTTTTCTGTAGTAGAAAGCTGACAATTGAACTACACATCCCAGAACCCATTGCTGTGCACATGATAATGTCAGTAATCAAACTTTCTTGAAATGCAGAAACATCAACTTTTTAAATGCTTTACCTTATTTCTCAAAGAAAGGGAAAAAAATAAAATAAAAAGTGGTTCAGAACAGAGTGTCCCTTTAAACACCTTTCCTAATGTGGCTTCTCTTACACAATGCTCATTTGACTTCCTTATATTCCAGCCTCCTTTATCCCTCAGATTGGTGAGGCGTTGACTTAGCTAATGCAAACATGTCTAACCTGTTTGGAGATCACCTAGAGCTGGATTATTTATGATCCCACGAAGTCAGGTACTGAACTGCTTCTCTTCCCTCCAGTGTGGAGTTTTCATTTCTCAAGGAGCAGTGTCACCCTGAAAGGTAAGAGGATGAGTGCGAGGAAACGACGCTTGATAATAGCATTATTCCATGGCGTATGGAATGTTAGATATTTTAGTAACAGGAGCTGACAATCTTACTCTCTAGTACTGTTCTTCAAGTAGTGTGTTGTCCTCCTATCGCTACCTTTCTAAGCATTTCTTTACTCGTAAATACTATATTCTGATTTTGCTTTAACCCTTTGTGTGCTAGAGAAACTGGCATCTTAAAGCGTTTATGACAGAGGAGTGTGTGAAGGTACGGTAGTGTTCTGCAGTTTTTTCATTGTTTGTAGTTGCGGTGACATTCAGTTCTAAAATCAATTGCCCAAATCCTTTACAACTTCAGCAACCATGTAGAACCAACCAATTTCTATTATGCAGACAGACATGCTGGAGATTCAGCAGGACACATGCTTTCTGTGTGTGTATGTGAATTAAACTTGTATTCCTAATGCTGTAGTGTTCACCTACCTATGTGTCCCATCTGTGTAAGGGTTTGAAAAGTGAGGTTTGCTTGCCTTTCTTGCTTTGCTGCACTGGTCTCACCCCAGCTACACCACCTGCCTGGCTGAGATAGTCTAGATTGCATGCTCACTAGCCTTCCAATCCTTACCTATGGGAATCTGAAATCATCAAATTGCTGTGCTGTGCCACTGCTCCCAGGAGACTTAATTGAGCTGAAGTGTCTGGGTGCATTTAGTGTTTTTTTTTTTTTTTTAACTGCAAGTATATTATGTTTGTCTTTAGTGGTTTTGTTTGTTCACAGATCACAGCTTGCTTTTACATTTTATGCCTCTGTGTGAATTTCCCTCCCCCTCGTTATGTACAGAACATTCGTAGAATTATTTCAATTTATTTTCAAATAAGTATCGTTATTGTTTTCTTCTTTTTGTGGCCAAGATAAAGCAAGAATTTTGTTTTTAAATGTTCCTTAATTAATATTAAAGCCCCTCGCTACAAAGTACAACAATTGTCTTGTGCAACATGTGCTTCCAAAAAAATTATAATTGTTTGTAATCTTTCTTTAGTCAGTTATCATATTGGGAAGAGGTTAATACACTCATAATAAGGGGAAAAGTCTTTAGGCCCCTTACCAGCTTCTATCTGATCGGTTAAGTTAAATAACAAAATAATGTTTGATTCTTTTGTAGAAGCATATGTTGTATAAAACATTTGTGGAACTTTAAAAGCTAGAAGAGGTCAGCGCTAATAATAATAAAAGGTGGGTAGGCAGCGGCCTGGCAGAGGGTAACCCTCTAACCCTCTTGCATACAAGTAAAAAAAAAAAAAAAAAAACAGTAGTGCAAAGCTGCGCCAAAGTATATTAATGTGGACTGTGGGTAATGAAACCAGTATATAGATAAAGCATATATGTGAAATTAGTGCATATACATAAATCCAAGATAGTTTTAAGATTGCACTCTGACGGTAAGTGTCTTTTTAGGTACTTTTGGTGGTGGGGTGTCCTCACTGTTTATAGTAGTCCGATTATTCTCGTGATATGGAAGACACAAAATGAAAGACCGATCGTGTAGACTGTGTGGGTCAATATATGTGAGAGGAAGGATATATATATATATATATATATATATATATATATATATATATATATATATATATATATATATATATATATATATATTAAACTCACATTTGGGAGAGGAGAGGTGGTAGGGATTTCCTCATTTTGAGATATTGGGCGGGCGAGCAGGTGCGAGCCAGCGGTACCCCTGCAACCGGGTACCGCCATCACTATTTGCGGCCCGTGCCCCCGCGGCAAACCGCCAGGGCCGCCGTTCAAGGCATTCATCGAGTGGCCCATGCTGTCAGGGCCACCCGATGGTTATGGATTGTAAGGGGGCCCGGTCAGCACTGAGCGCTTTAACAGCACGACTGGGCCCCCTGTGATTACATCACACAGAGCTGGGAGGAAGTAACTGCACGTCACTCCTCCCAGCTAACACACAAAACCGCGCGGGAGGAAGGAGAGGGAGTCAGAATGGGAACTCTGACTTCCATCCACCTGAGCCACCACTGGACCCCAGGGAATGTCACCCTCCTGCACCTAAAAGGTAGGAAACAAGAGGGTGACTAAAATATTTTGTGTATGTGTCTTTGTATGTATGTCTTGTGTGTGTATGTATGTGTCTGTATGTATGCGTGTCTTTGTATGTGTGTGTCTTGTCTTTGTATGTGTTGTGTATGTGTGTCTTGTGTCTGTATGTATGTATGTCTTATGTGTGTCTGTATGTATGTGTCTGTATGTCTTATGTGTGCATGTGTATGTGTGCCTGTCTGTTTGTTTGTATGTGTATGTATGTGTGCCTGTCTGTTTGTATGTATGTGTCTTTGTATGTTTGTGTGTGTCTGTATGTGTGTCTTGTATGTGTGCCTGTCTGTTATAGTGGGCTATAGTAAGTAATAGTAAGTGGGCTACCTAGCTCAGCCTTCCTACTGTGCATTGCTGTAAGGAAGGTTAAAAAATTGAAAAAAGGGTGAAAATAAGGTGGGGAGGGGAATTGAGGAGGGGAGCTGACACACAGATGAGAAATCATATTATGAGCAAACAGAGAAGTCGTCTGAATATCACAGAAAGAGAAGACCGAACCAGATATCAAATATTTAGTTTCGCAGCATCAACCTCAAGGATCTCATTAATCACTAGTAAAGGTTACTTTGTTTTCTCATTAAACTTTATAAAGTTAAAAACATTATAAACATGCATAAAGTAGAAATAAAAAGATAAATGTACGTACATTTTTTTTTAATTTTTTTTTTTAAACACCCTCCTTTCTAAAAAATATTCAGCACTTGCGCGAAAACTGGTGGGCGGTAAAGAAATTTTTCCATCAAGAAAGATGCATTAGTGGGTAGTAGGTAGAAAAGGGTTAACTACCACTGGTCTATACGATCGGTCTTTCATTTTGTGTCTTCCCTATCACGAGAATAATCGGACTACTATAAACAGTGAGGACACCCCACCACCAAAAGTACCTAAAAAGACACTTACCGCCAGAGTGCAATCTTAAAACTATCTTGGACTTATGTATATGCACTAATTTCATATAAATGCTTTATCTATATTTGTTTTATCTATATACTTGTTTTATTACACACAGTCCATATTAATATACTTTGGCGCAGCCTTGCACTACTTTTGTTATTTGTGGAACTTTGCAGAGTATGTGTGTGTCTGCGTATGTACATTTTTTTTTTTTAATTCTTCATACATTTTTTATAGGATGACTGGAAAAACAACATGTATAGAAGCTCTGTTAATAAATAATCATAACTTATAATAAAAGGCTGTTTTACATTGTGCTGGAAGTTTTTTTTTTTTTTGGGGTTAAAACAAAGACCCAACAAGTTCTGTGTAAGATGCATGTTGTTTTTCGTTGACCTGACTGATTTACATAACCCTGAAAGCAGACCCAGTATTTGGTCATCTCCAGTCAATAAGTAATCCTGGATTAAAGGACACTTTGTCATTTAAAGCATCAACGATAATGAGTTCTAACATGCGAAAACATAACATAGATTAAAAAAAAAAAATAGATATATATACACACACACACATTTTGAAGTTCTGCATTTGTCATGCTGTGCAATTCTGCTGTGAGATCTGCCAAGACCAGGAAGTGACACAGCCTTTAAAGATGCTCTGTTAAGTCTGCTGTAGTGGCTATGGTTCCAAGAGGGCCCTGGTGCACACACAGTGTAATTTCTCAAACCCTTTTAACAACTTACCTATGTTCCCTAAGTGCCCGTGCCTGCAGGCCCTGCATTCAAATTTATTTATTTTAAGAATCTGGAAAGCTTTACTGAGCTCCACTGGAAACATCCAGCTTTTCGTGCAGAAAGAGGCCAGGTTTCACTCTTGTATCAGGGACATCCAGGGAAGTTGTCATACTGTTCTAAAATTATTTTGTCAAATTACACTGTGAGGGCATCAGGGCACTCCTTGCAGCATTACTACAGCAGGCTATGAAGCATCTTCCTTTAACTCACAATAGCATTGCAGAGCTTATCCCATAAATGCCTGATTGCTAAAGGAGTCTGGGGAGATTTAATTCCATTGTCCGTTTTCCATTGCAGAATAGTGCCATGCAAGAAATAAGTGATGACATCCATATAAAATATAACTTGAGTGTAAAAGGAAAAGATTGCCGTTTTGAAGTGAGGGGCAGAAAGGCTGGACATACTGAGTAAAACTATTAAACTGAATAGTAGCAATAAGAGACATAGCAGTAACCTAGCCTACACTTTACACCTAACAGAAATTAACTGTATTCATTTTACAGTCACCCCTCGCTAGTTGGGCATTGAGAGAATTTTGCATGCTGACAATTTGTTACTTAGCTGGCTTTATCACAGTTTGTTTTTCTATTAAATTTGCAAAAATATATTCTACCTTCATTAGCCTTTCAACATAATATATTAGGGAATAGAAACTGAAGAACGAAGAGGCTTAAATTTGTATTGTTTATCAAGCTCACAGCAGCAAGCTGTAGCAAGTGGGCTATTAGTTCATCCAGTTATGTCTAGTCGTTTGGTTCCTATAAGTCTAATGATTTAGGTTTATTCCTTTTGCAGTGTTTTTGTTACGCATATTTTATATCGGGGTTGAGGGGGGTCTTTTTTTTATATTTATTAAATCAGAGTTTATAAAAAAAAAATTTCCCATACTAAATATAAATCCGTAGACATTCGTCACACTAGGCATCAAAACCACATCAGCTTAGTGTAGTGTCCATAGGTACCATCACATGGTTTTTGTGTTTAGAAAAGGTTTGGCTAAAACCAGGATCTCCCTGGCAAAATTAGTTCACCCTCTCCCACCAGATTTATTATTGAATTGTTTATAACCGGGACCAGACTGAGAGCATTGGTGGTAGACTAGTCCTGTGCTCTTAACTGGCCAGTTTGGGCAAAATTGATACTTAAATATACTGCCCATTAAATGATAATTGAACTTTTAAAAACAAGCAACTCTTGTAGCATGATATAGTGGTTATGGTGCTTGGAGTGTTCCTAAAACACTGTCTGTCTGAAAGAGTGCATATTCTGCAGACTCCTGACCAGCACTAAAATATATTTACTTATATATATAAAAAAAAAAAAAGAGAGAGTAACTGTAGTCTGCTGACTTCGCCTTAGTTTTATGAAAGGAGATAACAGACGTAATTGCAGTGGTAGGTAGCCGTATAGCTGGAACGCGTTTTCCAAAATGCTGCAGTTATAAGCAATTGGGTGCAGGGAAACCATGAGTGGGCCTTTCTTTGACCAATATCCTATGCAAAAAGCATAAGTCGTTATATCTTTCTATGTGTATGTACTCTATATACTTTTAAATAATGCAGAGTTTATTATTTACACTTTGCTCTGTCACCTTACATGACATTGTAATCCAGCACCATGAAGGATCTATAGGTAAAACGTTGCATAGTTCCTTAGTGTATGAAATCTGATCTAATCTAGCTATCTCTCTAGCTACCTGACTGTCTTGGAACATGTCCGGGAGTTTAACTGTCTGTTCCTTACATTCCAACACCACTCACTCCCTTTTTTTATGATGCCGGTTTGTTAATATGGAGCATAGGGCACATTCCTTTCTAACAGAAACACACACCTGCCATATTTACATCTTACTGCATTTCTATCACATTTGATTTTTGGGTACGTAGAGGCAGAATAAAATATTTGGGATAAATAGTGATTCAGTTCAGGTATTTTTAATGTGAACCTGTTCTCTGAAAAGGTGACTAGGTTCATAATACAATATATTATGTAGAGGGTTTTGTTCATTAAAATTTCTACCATAACACTGTAGCCTGCTGAGAGCACCCATCTTCTTTTCCCTAGGTGCTGGGGGGAGAGGCGGTCTGTCACTAGCTTGCCCCGTGCACTCACAGCAGATGCAGAGTTTGCACAGAACTCCCATTAGACAAACTAGAAGTCTTGTTCCGCGCTGGCTAATGACACCCCAATGATGTTGTCAGAAGTGGGGTTTCACCTCCGCAGCAGATGGGTTAAACTCTGTTTGTTCAGCGTTTCATAGTGAAACACTGCACATACAGACTCCAATCACAATAACCACTTAAGATCAGTGAAGAAGTCATGGTGCTTGGAGTTCTCATTTACATTGATATTTTTGGGGGTGCTCATTAATTTGGTGTTGCCACAGGTTTATCAAGTAGTTTTAATTCAAGTATCAATCAATAAGAGAGAAATGGCTTTCTTGATGTGTTAATAAATCTTATCTGGAGTCATTGTTATCACTTAGGGAACCTATAGTCCTGAAAATAGCAATAGTATTTTTGGGGACTATTGGTTCCCTCCTATTGCTGTCATCACTGCCCATTCCCCTTTGCTGCTTAAAATTAAAATTCTATAAAAACTACTTACTTTTTTCCAGCACACACTGTAGATGTGTTGGTGCTTGAAGTCTTTCTGTAACTTGTATTTTACATTCGTCATTTTTCCCTTTTGTCTTTGGTTTGCTTTTACAGATTGTTGGGAAGACATTCTATAAGGAAATTGCTTATACAAACACTCCAGGCACTGTAACATCATCAAATGAAGTTGTTTTGGTGCCAGGATGTCACTTGTGCTGGCTCACCTTAAGGGGTTAAACCATTCTCGCAATATATATATAAAATCCAAAATGTAAAAGAGAATTTTAGAAAGAGAAGTGAAGGATTAATTGGAAACATGTTGTGAAGGCCACATGTGCAGACTTTTCCTGTGCAGAATGTCAACACGTAACAAGAAAGTAAAATATCTTGGCAAACTGCAGAATGGCTTTAAATATGAATTTTATTTTTTTTTGCTTTAAAATCAGCTAGGATAATTAAATTAATGCACGTTTATGGATATAATGCTGCTCCCACCTATCTATCCTCCCTTATACACAAGTATGTCCCGTCTAGGCCCTTACGATCTGCTGAAGACTTACGTCTATCTTCTGTCCGTACTCCCACCTCTGATGCTCGCCTCGAGGGCTCCACCGTTGCTGTGGAACTCGCTTCCCTCCTCCGTTAGATGCTCACCCAGTTTCCACTCCTTCAAAAAATCATTAAAAACCCACTTCTTCATAAAAGCGTATCAATTAAACTGTTAATAGCTCCCGACTGATTCCTCTTCTGCAACTGTCACTAGTCTAATACTATCCTTACCTTTTTGTGTCACTTTACACCCCACTCCCTCTAGCATGTAAGCTCATTGAGCAGGGCCCTCAACCCCTCTGTTCCTGTGTGTCCAACTTGTCTGGTTACAACTACATGTCTGTTCGTCCACCCATTGTAAAGCGCTGCGGAATTTGACGGCGCTCTATAAATATCATAATAATAATGATGTATATCTAATTGCATGAAATGCCATTTAATTTATCTGTAAGTTATGGTTTTATTGACTTCAGAAAATATGTAATGTTTAATTTGTACAGATTTTCAGAAAAGTCTTCTGTTCATTAATTTTTCTGCAGCAAAACCATATCCTATTTTGATTTTGGTTTGCTAGTGTGTAGGCTGCAGGGGTCTTTTACTGTTATCAGGCATGCATACTCTTTCTCCTATACATATAATTACTTGTTCAATGTTTTGTTTAGGCGTTGGCCCGTGGTGTCTGTTGAGAAGAGTCTAAAAAGACTTTAGTCTCATGTCCACTCCCAAGCTTTCACCAGGTTCTTTATAAAAACGTGTCCACACCTTGTTAATCAAATTGAACTCCCACCAAAGGTGAGACCGAGAGAAAGCAGGATATAATCTTGACAGGTGTAATGCTAGCCTTTAATGTTAGTCTAGTGAGAGTTTAGACGTTTCTATAATTTCAGGGTGTGTGTAATAAGTCTGGAGAGGTTCAGAGCTTATAGACTTTTACCAGTACTTCCAAGTAGAGAAAAAGTTGCGCCAATTAATAAATAAATAATTTTATTATAAAATGTCTAATATTCAGCAAAAATGTGGAATACTAATTTTTAGATTGGAAACTATTTTAGTTTTGCCTGGAGTATCCCTTTAAGATAGCTCACCTACCCCTCCTTTACCCTGTGTGTTGCAAGCTGGGAAGGTTGCCAATAGGTGTGTATTTAAATGCATAGTTTGTGTGATGCCGTAACCTTTGCTCTGTATTTATATCTACGCATGTACATGTGGCTCAGCGCCTGAGACTTCTGCTTGCCGAACTGCTTGATCCCAGTCCGTATCTGTCTAACTCGCAGAACTTCGATTAGGTCACTATCTAATCATTCACATTTATAGATTTATGATTTAAGAAGAAACTGTGTGATTGTGATGATCTGTGTATACCAACTAACAGGTATTAAAAATTATGTGTTTTGTATAGAAAAGCACTACACTTTTATTATGTTCATTGGAGCTGAGCAGATTGACAGGTAAATGTCCTAATAGTTGTCTTGAAATGTATGGTGTCTTAATGTAACTTTCAATTTCTTTTAGGGGGTTTTAGAGCAGGGGATGCCAAAAGGTAAACCCCATCCCACACAGTTAATATTTTTGACTGTATTTTAATATCTTTGATTGTGTTTGTTTTTAATTATTTGAGATCACTGAGGAAGTTATTTTATGAATGAAACACGTAGGATCTGGGCTCAAAAATAAATTGTTTAAACTTTATTTTATATTTTTTTATTCTGGTATAATACATACTTTTATACTTACCTGGATTCCTGACTCCTCTTGGTTCCTGGATTTAAACATCAGTGACAGTGAGCAGGTCGGTGTAGCCCCTCATTACCATCAGGGAAGGCACCCTCAAGGTGATAAACTACACATTCTGTGGAATAAGTGTGTCACTTTATTTATTTGTAACAGTATCACACTGTTTTGTTGATCTATTCTTTTCAGATTATACAGCTGTATCCCATTTCTCTTTCTATATACATACTTTGTTGTTTTGGTTACCTTGGGAAGTTGTTGACTATTTTCTGTTAAATTCACCGAGCACTTATTGTGATATAAGGAAGTAAATTGTTTTTGTTATGTTGTACACAGCTAATGCTAAGGCTGTCAGAGCATCATGAGAGTTGTAGTACTATATCAGCTAGGGAACAACCTTTGGCCACCCAATCTCTGAGCAATTCCTAGGAAATAAAAGGACTCTATTTAGAATATGATGGCATGCTATTGTTTCTTTACTGTTTTGCATAGTCTTACTTTATCTAACTTCCATCTCCATTTATGAACCTGAACCCTGACTTTTTTTATTTATTCAAGAATGTTTGAAAAACTTGCTATTTAATTAGTTAAAGGAGCATTATGGTGCCAGGAAAACAAACTCTTTTTCCTGGCACTATGGGGTCCCACTGGGCTGAAGGCGTTAAAACTTTCCTATGGATGTCAGCGTCTTCTCACTGTGATTTTCACACAGAGAATCGTGGAAGCGGCCTCTAGTGGCTGTCAGGGAGACAGCCACTAGAGACTGGATTAACCCTCAATGTAAAACATAGCAGTTTCTCTGAAACTATGTTTACAGCTGCAGGGTTAAAACTAGGTGGACCTCGCACACAGACCACTTCATTGAGCTGAAGTGGTCTGGGTGCCTGTAGTGGTCCTTTAACTTAAAGGACAACTATAGTGCCCTAAGGGTGCCCCCACCCTCAGGGTCCCACTCCCGTGGCGCTGAAGGGGGAGGAAGGGGTCCCATGGCACTGGGACTCTCCTCCCTCTTCTGATGTCCCTGGCATGTGCGGCAAGAGCCGCGTGCACATTCAGCCAGTCCATAGGAAAGCGCCTCTAGCGGCTGGCAATGAGACAGCCACTAGAGGCTGGATTAACCCATAGATAAACATAGCAGTTTCTCTGAAACTGCTATGTGTACTGCAGAAAGTGTTAAACCTAGCTGGACCTGGCACCCAGACCCCTTCATTAAGCTGAAGTGTTCTGGGTGCCTATAGTGGTCCTTTAATTGCAAAGAATGCTTAAAGCACACTGTTTACTTGTTTTTCCTCCTACTATAACATTGATTTGAATTATGAGCATGCTGGGGATATGCTCCATTTTTTAAATAGCACCTAATAGTAACTGAGTGGTGATTTCCTATGGTATGTTATTAACAGTATTGTTGAAAAGAGGCTTATTCACTTCCATACTTACAAGCACACAGGAGCTAGCTAATGACTGCTCAATAAGAATGTTGGTCTCTAACCACTGAGATGCAATTAAACACTGCATATCCCATTGCAAGAAGCTGATTTTGTAACCATTAGGAGCGTATATAGATGAGGATGTAGAATTGTGTATGTCATCATCTACAATTAACTTTGCCAGTGTTCTAATTATTGTCATTTTTATTACTTTTTTTTACATTTACGTACATTTTATATTTACACATTTTAAATTGATATTTTGAATGTGTTTTGTCATTTGACTGATCTATATATATATACCCAGTATCACATGTGATTTTTGTCATGCATCCTGTTGGAAACACTACATTTGAATAAAAACACTAAATAATAATTGCAAAAAAAGTGTTTTGTTTCAGGTTTATGCTAAACCAGATAATTTTGTTGAATTTGTAGAATTGTGAGTGAATTTATAATGTGAGCTGAAAGCACAAAATTGTCTCTTCTTGCTGCCAAACTATCTGCATTAGAAAACTAAATGAAATACCCTTACAATTATCACGGGAATCACTAGCCTTTAGCTGCACTGTTACAATAGGACACATCATCTCTGGCAAGAATAGGGGATTTATGAAAGTCCAACTCCTGAGTTTACAGACTGAACTACATACACTGTAAGGGTAGACAATCCAGAGGAGTGAGGTTTGATTAGAGAAACTGTGATTGTTAGGCGTTCTTAGGACATGTTGGCAGGCCATCATGTCTAGTGGAATTTTATGTTGTTTTTTTACAACATGCAGGCTGTAATTAGACATAAAGTAGTAGCCGCTATTAAACTCGAAAGAATGTGGTGGTTGTGTGTGAGGACAGGGAGTTGGGTCAAAGGTAGTAGGAAAAAGGTGGGGTGCCTGAATACATTCATAGTCTTTGTGACCAAGAACAGGAAAAAAAGAGTGTAATTAGTTTGCTGTTGAAAGGACGTGCAAGATTGCCTATTGTGTGACTTGAATTAGAATTCACAATTCAGCCTGGAGATCTTACTGTTTCTGTATGTTTGTACAAACCAGCCATTAGTACAGTAGTCTTTAACGCCTCAGTCACAACCTCATTTGTTCTCTCTTGTATTTTTTTTTGGGGTGCCCATGGGTTGGACTAAGCACATATTATTCATCTGTCCCTAGGTACTTTTGTGTCTAAAATGTTCTGCTGAATTTATTTTAGTAGGATCCCAGTAGGATTTTGGTCAATTGAAGAATAGATCACTGAGCTAATTATACTGTTGGAGAATTGGTCATCAAGCAAATTCCTTATACAACCCTGTCAAAAGAATCTGCCTATCAAAACAATATTTGTGTGATTAGATGCATTCATTTTCTTGAAATGGGTCATACATTTTTAAAGCATCATAATCACTTTGCCTCATTGCAAACCACCATCACAAATCATGTTGGCGAGTGGACCACAAAAGCAGTGATATGCCACTATGGTGTCATTCGGATTGCAAAACAGACTCTGAATACCCTAAACTGATTTTGAAGTTCAACTTGTCCGAACAGCTGAAATCAGGATCCAAACATTAAAAGAATGCTAATTTTAGCAGCCAGTGGCCAAATAGAAAAACAAAATGGCAGTGCAATGATTACGTATTAAGGCTAGCCATTCGCCATAGTCAAAAATAACCAATAAACATAATATAAAAGCCTATGTGGTAAATATTTGACTCCCATCTATATAATCAGATGTAATAGTAGTGGGACAGTTACTGTCCCAGCAATGTTAGAGTTAAAAGATTAGAGGAAAACAACACAGTGCTCCAAAGCAATAGAATTTCCCAGTGGTGTTACCTGTGTATCAAGGAGCTTTAAAGCTGTAATCTCCGTGTTTGTATGTGGCGTGCCTGTATAAATGTAATATGTGCAGCCTTCATTATTTCAGTAGGTCTGTTCTTTGCAGTTATTGGTAGCCCCCTATGTTTCACTATGGCACTTCTGTGACCCCTGTATATATCGTCAGACTCCACTGACTAAGGGACACTTTAAAACTATTACCCATGTAATGCAGTGAACAATACGGTTTCAGGTGTCCTTATAGACATGTCTTCTGACACCCATGATTCTTATAATGAACAAAGCAATATAATGCCCAGAATGTCCTCTAGTAAATAGAGTCTAAACCATTCAACCAAGGTGAACACAGCATTTTTTATAAAGACTGCATGTTTCGCAAATGTCTGTTTAACCCCTTAAGGACACATGACATGTGTGACATGTCATGATTCCCTTTTATTCCAGAAGTTTGGTCCTTAAGGGGTTAAAGTCCAATGGATGATGTGTTGTGTAACTAGGTCTTCCAGTGAAAGTATTGTTTTGCCATATGATAAACTTTAGCATGGTGATCTCTTGACAGTTGTAAATAGTTGCCAAACAAGATCGATTGATGGCTAGCAAGAAACAGAAAGGACAACAATAGTGGTTTTGTTTTTATTAGGATGGGCTGCCATATGAATCATCTGTTATTTTTTTTTTTTTTTTTTTTCCCAAGGCTATTACTTTTATGATGAATCCTCAAAATGTGTTTTGTTCCTATCAAAAACAAAATATTAATGCTACACCATAACACTGTCAATCTTAAAAGAACATTGTAGTGTTAAGAATACATACATGTATTCCAAACATTATAGTGCTGGAGTAGCTGTTCAGGTCACTGGTTCCCCTTGGATGGGGAGATAAAAGGTTGGCCCCACCTAATGACTGCGATAACCTTAATCAGTCTTGATGATCTCAGCCAATCCAATGCTTTTCCCATAGAAAAGCATGGGGTGGCAATTGCACATGCACAGCAAAACACCACGCTGCATTCCCAGCGCTACAATGCATCCCCATTGGGATCGTTCACTGTCTCCATACAGAGCCGCACAGAAATAGGAAGCACCTCTAGTGGCCGTCTGAGTGACTGCACCTAGATGTTTTAATAGGCAGCAATGTAAACACTTTAACTAATTCGGTGAGTTAAAATGCTTATAATGCTTTACATTGGAAAGTCTGCAGGGACATGCTTTAAACACCATAACCAATGGATTGAGCTGTTTCGGTTCTGGTGACTATAGTGGCCCTTTAAACTTTCGTTTTGTAGAGATCCAAATGGCTTGCATGGCATTAAAGACTAATTTTAAGTGCCCCCTCCAACTTGGTAACTCGTTTAATTCTATGAAAAACTTAATGGAGCTTTTTTCCAACAGTATTGTGATACATAAACAAATTCTGCCAATACCATCATTAGACTCTTCCCAGTGGCAAATGGGACCTCTGCCGTTAGGGAGGCAGTTCTGCTTCAAAAAGCAGGGAAGGAAGATAGTACAATAATCTTACTCCTGAGCGGGGGTTAACCCCTAGTGCAACGAAATGCACCATAAAACTAAACAATAAGGAAGGGAGACAGGAGAAGGGACAGGATGAATGATAGTGTCCTGCAGAGTGGTAGTTGCCTCGTTATAGAGGGGGTGACCTTAGAATAGGTTGGGCTCGGGGAGATCACAAAAGAGGAAAGATAATTAAAACTTCACTTTTAATGTAAATAGTTAAAAGGGGGGGTATACAAACAAATTTTAGTTCAAATAACTGTTGTAAGAAATCCTCAAGTGATACCGTTACACTGCCTGTTAACAGAATTAAATGCCACTGTGGGAACAACCGCTACAATTTAGTAGTGTCAACAATGTATCGATATACCAGTACCCGGGCTCAAGGAAAAATAGCGGAGTCCCAGTGAGCTGCACTGAAGCTGTTAACAAAGCTGATCATGTTTACCGAAACTGCAGTGTCTGGACTCCAAAACAAGCTTGAGAGTGCCAGTGTACTGCAGAAAAGAGCATCTCAAAAATGATGACAGGGTCCTGAGTTAAAGACTGTGAGAAATAGCATCTAGAGGTATGTGCACGCGGGAGTACCTGCAGTATAGTAACTAGGAGGTGCAAACTGCAAGATGTTGCCTGGTAGATTCTGCAGGAACTGGCTTAATAACCCACAAGCCATGGGTAGAGAGAGGTTAACTACCAAAACACTGGAAATCCTAGTGTTATGGTATGTGCAGGCGGGAGTACCTGCAGTATAATAACTAGGAGGTACAAACTGCAAAGATATTGCCTGGTATATTCTGCAGTAACTGGCTAAATAACCAACAAGCTATGGGTAGAGAGGGGTTTAACTACAAAAACACTAGGAATCCTCCTATGCTTGTGGTCCCTAAGTACTTGTGCCTTCGAGAGCACCCCCATAGCCAAAAGCCTACAATCTCCTATGGAAATACAAATAGAAAATTTCCCACCAATACTGCTACAATGAAAGAAGTGAGCTGGAAATGCCTAGACTTTGTAGGCTGCTTCAAGTGCTGCTGGGTAACGGCCGAGCCGATGCCAATAGAAAGCTCTAATTGGTATGGTAAGTAAAGAGGTGAAACGCGCGTCAGGGGAAACATCACTGGCGCTATCCACCAGTCACTTTACTAAGAGTGACCTGTCACTTCACTAAGATTGACCTCTTTACTTACCATACAAATTAGAACTTTCTATCGGCATCGGCTCGGCCGTTACCCGCACTGGTCATCGTAATCACAGGAAGCTCTTTGTCTGACGCAATGGAGGTGGGGAGCAGACCCCAGAAAAGCCGTAAAACCGTGGTAAAACAGTTTGACTACTTACAATGGGAGTGACCCAGAGAACTCCTGGCACTATAACCACTACAGTGTACTGTAGTGGTTATGGCGCTTTATTTTCCTTGAAGTGCATCCACTTTACTAATTGAGTTGGTTTCTTAATGTATATATAGCATAGTCACAGCTTTATCTATCAAGATTGTAGTGGATCAACCGGGAATTGTCAAATACTTAAACGTTTGTAAAATATGTGTGTAACCGAGAGATAGTTATTGTATAAATGGTTCCAGAGGTTAATGTAAAATGTTTCATAAAAAAAACAAAGGTATCTCCACTATGCTCGTGTAAAGAAGTGTGTGGTTTGTTTTGGTTTGTATTTAAGTTTTAAGAAATGGAAAAACGAGAGCATAAAAAGTAACAATATTTTTTTTGTGTATTTTTACAGCTATGTGGAGGTAGAACAGGGGTTTGTTAAACCACTTGTCTCCGCCGGTATGTAGGTTGCAGTTTGGAACAGCTGTAGTACTGGGTACATTCTTGGTGGAGAAGGTCAAGGGCAACTTTGTGGTTCTCTGTCTTATCTCAATAGGACAAGCAGTCTCACTAGGGCTTGAGATGCAGAGGTCCTTGTTGGTTTAGCAAAAAATGATTTGGACAAACCGTGTTGTACCAGTGAGAATCATTAATTTAATGGAAGAGATATGGTTGCTTTTTTAATTGATCCAATCTGAACCAAGTACCCTTCTCACATTTCTGAGCACTGAAAGACTCCTAACACAGATTTGAAGTTGTAATTTGTATCCTTGTAGACCAAATGTAATTCTGGATACAACGTACCCAAATGTGTTCTTTTAGTGGACAATTGAGCTATTTTGTCCCCAGTGATAATTATCATAGATTTTGATTCTCTTTTAATGTGGGAGCACATTCACTGGAATTTGTATTTCTCTGCAGCAAGTTCTTTTATTAGTTTATAAGACCTAGTAAAACATAATTTTTAGATTTTATTTTTTTTCTTTGTAGTAGTTTTCTGGGAAATAAATCGTTGTTGTTCATCTGGTATGCATACCATCACTAGGAGACTTTGTAAGCACGTCTGAACTAGGAAAAGTAAAACGATCATGCATTTAGTAACCTATAGCACAAAATCTAATAATTGCCAGTTCAGTCTTCTGCCCTGGCACTTTAGCCAAGAGCAATTGGGTAACCACCCATCCAGGCGGTGTGGAGTAACAGTAGTAGACAGGGAGGGAGCTTTTGGTGCTCCAGAAGCTGAAATGTAATTAAGGTGGCCCATGCCTTCCTCCATTCTAAGGAGCCAGACATTACCTGCAGTGGAAGAAGCAGCTGGTGGTGCTGGAAAAAGTCCTACTGCAGACTTTGAACTTAATGTGGAATATCCTCACATGCATGTGAAATACTGTATCCAATCAGTGGGAGACGTAAAAGACTTGACACGGACATACTATCTCATATCAACCAACCACCTGCGTGTGACAACCTTCTGCCTTCAATATAAACTCACAGTATTAGCCAATCTGAACATTCACCTAGCCTGCAAATGGTCCACATGGGAAATTCCTGCATCAAAGAGAGCAAGCACTGGTAACAGTATGAGGATCAATCTGTTGCTACGGAGCCGCCATGGATATGAGAAAATGCTTAGTTCGTTGGAAAGGTTTTAGACAGTGGAAGTCTAACAAGGCCCCACTTGTATCTGAGAATGCAGGAAGATTGTCCATCCAGGCAGCTCCTGAACTCCATAAACACACAACTCCGTGGAACAAACAAGCTGATAAGCCCAAACTAGTATACAAATGTCAATCACTAAGATTGGTGCAGTCCCTCACTTCCGCTTTTGAACTATCATTTAAAGCAGGGTGGATAAAATTAGCGGATTATTAAAAAATAAATAAATAAATAAAAATCTGTTTTCTATTTAAGATGCAGTGTTCTCCAACCCAGTCCTCATGGATCATCAATGGTCCAGGTTTTGTCCGTATTGGAATAAAACAGGGAAATACTTCAATCCTGGACTGTTGGTGGTCCATGAGGACTGTGGTGGAGAACACTGGTCTAAAGGTTATTTGCCATGAAATATGGTTTAAATATGGAGCATGAGGTTGTATAATAATGCAATATTTTATATTTTTTGGTAAATTAATTCCATTCATGTAAGTTGTTAATTGAACTTGTCGGCACATGCACTTTTACAATGATGTGGTTTGTTTTTTTTAAGTTTTTTTTTAAAAGACCTTATTCCAATTGATATTCTGTAAATATATGTACACAAAAGGAACACTATTAATTTAAGTTGTTCTCCAGACATGAATGATTAACCTATGAAATAGGAGATCACCTTGAAATAATGTCATCATTATCTATCTGTGGATTTCTGGCTATTATTCATTAACTGAAAATTTCTCTACAGTATTTAAGTAGAACCTAAATATTTATATGTGTACATTATATACTACACTATGAGTTTTTTAATGACTTATCGGTCCTGGTGTGCTTTAATTGGTGGTAATTGTATTTGTATGTCTGTGTGTACTTTCACTTACATTCAGAACCAAAACTATTTTATTCAACCGTTTTTCTCTTTTTTTTTTTTTTTTTTTTTCTTCAGATTAAAACACAAAAACAACCAAAATGGCAGAAGCCCACCAAGCTGTGGCATTTCAGTTTACAGTTACTCCAGATGGCATTGATCTTCGCCTGAGTCATGAAGCACTTAAACAGATCTACCTCTCAGGGCTGCGGTCCTGGAAAAAGAAGATGGCTCGGCTTAAGGTAAGAGGAACATTTTAGTGGTTATGGTGCAAAAAACCTTTGAGCACCATCATTTATTATTATTCAAACTGTTTTGCAGCAGTTTAACAACTAACAGGACTCCTCCTGGACCCAACAGATCATGGCATCTTCAGCTGCTTTTACAATGCAGAATTTATACTTTTGCCTTTATTAGTTTAGCCCTCCCCTAGCTCACAGCTAATCATTGCCATCCAGGGTGGACAGAATTCATACGGTTAATTAAAAAGAAAAAGAAAAACCCATGTTATCAAAGTGGTTAAAGACTTGTCTAGAGTTTACAGTGATATTTCTTTGTCAAACCTCTCTAAAATTGTCTGACAAGAAATAGGACAGTTCACAGACTGTTCGTACCTTAATCTCTAAACTGAACTGTTACAGTGCTTGTAGAGTGTCCTTATGTAAAGACCTTTAATCTATATATTGTTTACAAGCAGTTTATCCACAAATATGAATACACATAGGAATATATTGAAGTTTACCATTTCATTTATTTGGCATTAAGGTTGGTTATAATTAGTACACACTCTCATTAGTTAGTCGCCGTGCACACACTCATTAATCTCTCGTACAGAGGGAACTTGCTGGCATTTTGGATCTGGACTGCCTGTACAGGTGGGACTAGTCTGATATGCTTCAGATATGTTTTCTCTGTAATGGCACAAGTTGAGCTAAAACTGGCTTGAGATCTGAATGGGGACCCACCAAAGGGTGGGCTAATTGAGCTGTTGTCTGTTCTCACCTCACTTGCTACTAATTTTTTACGCTCATGAGTTAGTTGCTGTACCTTGCCCATTCAATGACTGTTTGCCATTCAGCATTATTAAAAGACTGTTTTGCTTGTTTTTGTTTTGGTGGGGGGGTAAGTTGTACGGTAATTGTAATATTTAACTTTATTTTATTTGTTTCGTGTTTTACAGAATAGTTTTATCACGGGAGTTTATCCTGCTAGCCCCTCCAGCTGGCTTTTCGTGGTGATTGCCATTATGGGGACCATGTACGCACGTGTGGATCCATCCATGGGAATGATTGGAAAGATCAAGGAACATCTACCAGTGAGGTGTGTATTGATATGTTTTGCTATCCCTCCTACAGTGCAATTGTACACATACAGAATTCTTGTATGGATAGTGTTCTAAGGAATGTATTTTGTATGGAAACTTCAGTTTAGTATAATTTTATTTCTGCCCTCTATTTAACATGTGCAGTTTGCATATGGTCTTCATCATTAACTCTGCCTGCTATAGAAGTTACATTACAAGCATGGGAACCTACTATTTACCATTTTTTCTCTGTCACAGTTCCCAGCATTTGTGATTCACATTAAGGGAAACCCTAATTCTCTTGGGGTTGCCAGCGTTTGTACTTTATATCTTGAAGATTTTTAAGTGATAATGTATTTCGACTCTTGAAAACGTGAGAGCGCTTTGTCATTTCATTTTGTATCTTCAAGTTCTGTAGCATGCATTTCAACAAAGCACGCTATTGATTGCTGTGTGACTAACTGAACAGTAAAACACAGGATTTTAACTGCTCTAAAACACTAATCTCTTTAATAGTTGAAGTGATGTGGCAAGTTTAGTTGAACTGAGTGGGAAAAGTCTAATCGCAGAGACACTCCTCTTGCAATTTTATTTCTACTGTACAGCCTTTAAGTGGGGGGGCCATGTGAGCCATGCCACAGATCGCTTTGCTATTCACTTTCAGCACAGTAGATTACAGGAAAGAAGGAACAAGAACACTACAAACACACATCTTTTCCCCTTGTAAACCAGCAAGGATCAGCCCTGTGCCCTCTCATTATCCCCCATTCCATGACAATATGCATGTAGTTCCTCGGGCGCTCACACCGCAATATGCATGTACAGGTCCCTCCACAACATTCTTATACCCCTGTGAACAATGTCTTTTAATATTGATCTTTGTTTAACTTTTCTGATGCGATGACTGAAGAATCATTGCAGTTTTGCCAGTTTATTGCTTTTAATGTAGAATCTCAGTTGTGTTGAGATGTAGAAGTCTGTTATTCTACCTTCCCCTTTGATTAAGGCTTCTGTTCTGCCTTTCCTTTGCAGTGGTTACCTATCTCACCAGGGTCAAAGCATCGTTAGTGCCCTGCTATTCTCCACAGGTCTCTGGTTTGCTCTCATCATGACAATGAGATATATTCTGAAGCAGCTCCTGTCATACCATGGCTGGATGTATGAACAGCATGGCAAGATGTCTGCCACCACCAAGCTATGGCTGGTAATGCATTCAAATTATTTATTTATTTTTAATGAGGAACAAACAACCTCACTTTCTTTGCTATAGTTCACTAGTATAGATTCTAGGATTGTATACCTGTGTGTTTTATATACAAATCTGTGCTCTCCCATGCTGTATTGTAGGGCAAAACATTGCATTACACTGAAAGCCGCAATAAGTTATATAATAAATAAAATATATATTCCTGTCTGCAAAAAATTGTCTCAAATAATACAGCTTATAAACTGTCAATATTTGTTTTATATGAGTTATATATGTATTTTATTCAGTGTTTTGGTTCAGTAGTAACTTACTGCATCAATATGTAGTATCAGTGACCGTTTAAAATTACATGTACCGAGCAATAGTTACAACAAGCCTTGTTATTGTGTTTTTTCTTTACAGACTCTGGTAAAGATTTTCTCTGGTCGGAAGCCAATGTTGTACAGTTATCAAGCCTCCCTCCCCCGGCTTCCCGTTCCATCCACTAAGGATACAATGCAGAGGGTGAGTTTGTACTGGTTGAATGAAAGCACATGCATTGAGGTAAAATGACCAGGTCTGACCAAAAATACTTTGCTACCTGGCTCCAAGAATATAATGCTGTCCTCTCCTTCCCTCACTTGTGAAGAGAGAGTGAGAGAGACACACAATTTTTTTCTAGCCACATAGCAGTAAATAATTAGCCACCTTTCGCTGCCTTATTAACCCCACACAGACATACATAACTATCTTCTCACCTGACTAACAATACACTCGCATGCTTTTAATTGGTTGCACAAATACATAACCAGCAGCAATCACTGCTCACTTGCACAAAAATATACCCTTATGCATATTTAATTAGAAACACATACTAACACACATGCACACCTATCTCAGTTTATAAGCTGCAGCACACAATCACAAAATCACACATGCACACAAAATATACATACATGCTTAAAGTGACTCTCCAGTGCCAGGAAAACAAACCGCTGTCCGGGCACTGCAGGTCCCCTCTCCTCCTAACCCCCATCCCAAGTTGCTGTAGGGGTTAAAACCCCTTTAGTGACTTACCTGTATCCAGCGCCGAAGTCTGTCGGCGCTGGGTCAGGGTCTGCCCACGCTCCTCCCCCGCCTACGTCATCCTGCGGGGGAGACCCATTGCGCATGCTTTCAATGCTTTCCTATGGGGATTTCAGCAACGCTGGAGGTCCTCGCATAGCGTGAGGACGTCCAGCGACACTATAGCACACTTTTCAGGAAGTGCCCTCTACTAGACAGCCACTAGAGGAGGAGTTAACCCTGCAAGGTAAATATTGCAGTTTATGAAAACTGCAATAATTACACTTGTAGGGCTAAGGGTACCCAGTTGGTACCCAGACCACTCCAAAGGGCAGAAGTGGTCTGGGTGCCTGGAGTGTCCCTTTAACAGACCCGCTGAATTATATTCTTCCTGTCATAATAATGATTTCCAAAGGAGCCATATTTCTAGGGGGCTGTGTGTAGTTATGTCATGACATTTTTTAAAAATGTTAAATCCTTAAACAGGAGAAAGCGCTTCCAGAAATAAGCTAGGCACGTGGGAATTGATGCAGACCCTAAAATATGCTTCGGAACACTTCTCAGTGGTAACTTTGGCATGTTGAATGGAAGCCAAAGTTAACAGTAGAGAGATCTCACAATGAGAAAATGTATTATTTAATCAAATAAACTTAGAGGTTCATCTTGTTATGGTAAGCAGCCATACTTTGTGAACCATGAAGGCTGACTGTGCTGCCAACAGACACTCTATGCTACTTCTCACTTGTGCTTTGCAAATTGCACTGATGCTGACAGTTTGCACTTCTTGCCTTATCAACTGTCAGGATAAGGTAAATGCAAGCAAATGAAACATGTACGTGCAAAGATACATCTACTGTATTTTCCGGCGTATAAGACGACTTTTTAACCCTTGAAAATCTTTTCAAAAGTCGGGTATTGTCTTATACGCTGGGTGCTGAAACCGGACTGGCGAATCTGTGGGTAATGTTAACAGGATTGGTCGAGCTTTAAGTGGTTAAGTGGGGGTAGTTTATACCGAGACAGCCTGGTCTATGGGACGAGTGTACTATAATTGGACAGTCACACAAGGACGCTCTACTAATGCGGAACTCTTTTCTTTTGCCTTTTTCCATGTACCGGTATATGTCCAGTTATAGTACACTTGGTCTGCCTACTCAGCTGACTATAACCGAAGTTACCACAGCCAGCCATTACGTCGCCGCATATGGTGGGGGGAGCTCAAAAACGGCCGCGGCCGCATCCCCACCGTATGCGGCGACCGTATGAAAGCAGCAAGGGCGGTGCTGTAAAAGAAGCCCTTGTATCCTATTACCGTACCTCCTTCTCTGCCTCTTAGGTTTCGCACAGATCTCAGATCTGCAGTGAAGCGGCGCAGGCACGCATGTGCGAGATCTGAGAAGCAGAGAAGGAGGTACGGTAATAGGATACATGGGCAGGCCAGACGAGTGAAAGAGGCGTGTTTGCCATAGTCTTGGAGACAGGGAGGGCTGGGCTGGCAGGGGGAGGTGACCAATCCAACCAATCGCCGGTAAGAAACATAGAAACATAGAAACATAGAATGTGACGGCAGATAAGAACCATTCGGCCCATCTAGTCTGCCCAATTTTCTAAAAACTTTCATTAGTCCCTAGCCTTATCTTATAGTTAGGATAGCCTTATGCCTATCCCATGCATGCTTAAACTCCTTTACTGTGTTAACCTCTACCACTTCAGCTGGAAGGCTATTCCATCCACTACCCTCTCAGTAAAGTAATACTTCCTGATATTATTTTTAAACCTTTGTCCCTCTAATTTAAGACTATGTCCTCTTGTTGTGGTAGTTTTTCTTCTTTTAAATATAGTCTCCTCCTTTACTGTGTTGATTCCCTTTATATATTTAAATGTTTCTATCATATCCCCCCTGTCTCGTCTTTCCTCCAAGCTATACATGTTAAGATCCTTTAACCTTTCCTGGTAAGTTTTATCCCGCAATCCATGAACCAGTTTAGTAGCCCTTCTCTGAACCCTCTCTAAGGTATCAATATCCTTCTGAAGATACGGTCTCCAGTACTGTGTACAATACTCCAAGTGAGGTCTCACCAGTGTTCTGTACAATGGCATGAGCACTTCCCTCTTTCTACTGCTAATACCTCTCCCTATACAACCAAGCATTCTGCTAGCATTTCCTGCTGCTCTATTACATTGTCTGCCTACCTTAAGTCATCAGAAATAATCACCCCTAAATCCCTTTCCTCATATGTTGAGGTTAGAACTCTATCAAATATTCTGTACTCTGCCCTTGGGTTTTTACGTCCAAGATGCATTATCTTGCACTTATCCACATTAAATGTCAGTTGCCACAATTCTGACCATTTTTCTAGTTTACCTAAATCATTTGTCATTTGGCTTATTCCTCCTGGAACATCAACCCTGTTACATATCTTAGTATCATCAGCAAAAAGACATACCTTACCATCAAGACCTTCTGCAATATCACTAATAAAAATATTAAAGAGAATGGGTCCAAGTACAGATCCCTGAGGTACCCCACTGGTGACAAGTCCAAGCTTCGAATATATTCCATTAACTACAACCCTCTGTTGCCTGTCACTCAGCCACTGCCTTACCCATTCAACAATATTGGAATCCAAACTTAAAGATTGCAGTTTATTGATAAGCCTTCTATGTGCAACAGTGTCAAAAGCCTTACTGAAATCTAGGTAAGCAATGTCTACTGCACCACCCTGATCTATAATTTTAGTTACCCAATCAAAAAAATCAATAAGATTAGTTTGGCATGATCTCCCTGAAGTAAACCCATGTTGTCTCTGATCTTGAAATCCATGTGTTTTTAGATGTTCATCAATCCTATCCTTTAACATGGTTTCCATCACTTTCCCCACTACTGAAGTAAGGCTTACTGGCCTATAGTTGCCCGACTCCTCCCTATTACCTTTCTTGTAAATGGGCACAACATTCGCTAACTTCCAATCTTCTGGGACTACACCTGTTAACAATGATTGGTTAAATAAATCTGTTAATGGTTTTGCTAGTACACCACTAAGCTCTTTTAATAGCTTTGGGTGTATTCCATCAGGTCCCATTGACTTATTTGTCTTTACTTTTGACAGTTGAAATAGAACCTCTTCCTCTGTAAACTCACGTGTAATAAATGACTCATTTATCCTTTTTCTCAACTGAGGTCCCTTTCCTTCATTTTCTTCTGTAAATACAGAACAAAAATATTCATTGAGGCAGTCAGCCTGACCTTTATCCTCTTCTACATACCTTCCTTCTTTTGTTTTTAATCTAACTAATCCTTGTTTTACTTTTCTTTTCTCATTTATGTATCTAAAAAATGTTTTATCCCCCTTTTTTACTGTCTGTGCTATTTTCTCTTCTGTGTGTGATTTGGAAGCTCTTATAACTTGCTTAGCCTCTTTCTGCCTAATCTTATAGATCATTTTGTCTCCCTCACTCTGGGTTTTTTTATAATTCCTAAATGCTAACTTTTTGTTTTTAACTATTTTGGCCACATCTGCGGAGTACCACAGTGGTTTCTTGAATTTTTTGCTTTTACTGACAAGCCTAATGCAATTTTCTGTTGCCTTCAATAGTGCAACTTTTAAATAATCCCATTTCTCTTGGACTCCATTTAAATTGCTCCAGTCTGATAATGACTCCTCTACCCATATTCTAATTTTAGAAAAGTCTGTTTTTCTAAAGTCTAAAACTTTTGTTTTTGTGTGGTGTGACTCAGTCACTGTTCTTATATTAAACCACACTGACTCATGATCACTGGATCCTAAACTTTCACCTACAGTAACATCTGATACTAAATCTCCATTTGTTAACACTAAATCTAGTATGGCCTCTTTACGAGTTGGCTCCTCAACAACTTGTTTTAGAGACAAACCCAGTAGGGAGTTTAGAATATGTGTGCTCCTGGCACAAGTAGCTAATTTTGTTTTCCAATTTACATCAGGAAGATTAAAGTCACCCATGATGATAACTTCCCCCTTCATTGTCATTTTAGCTATTTCCTCAACTAGTAGATTATCTAACTCTTCAATTTGTCCTGGGGGCCTATAAATCACACCTACACGAGTTACTGTGTGATTACCACACATTACATCACTTGCCGTGATTGGCTGGTTGTTTTGGTCAGCTCTGTTTTGGTTATACTGGGTACCACATACAGTTCAGCACGAGTATCTGTACCTGTTCATACAGTACAGCACCAGTATCTGTACCTGTTCATACAGTACAGTACCAGTATCTGTACCTGTTCATACAGTACAGTACCAGTATCTGTACCTGTTCATACAGTACAGTACCAGTATCTGTACCTGTTCATACAGTACAGTACCAGTATCTGTACCTGTTCATACAGTACAGTACCAGTATCTGTACCTGTTCATACAGTACAGTACCAGTATCTGTACCTGTTCGTACAGTACATACAGTAAATACAGTACATACAGTACAGTATACAAATGTCCAACAGTCAAAAACCCATCATGGCTCCACCAGCAAGAAGAAAGAAATAAGAAGCCAGTTTCAAACTTAAAGTTGTAAACTTTGCCATGGAACATAATAACTGCGCTGCTGCACGACAATATGGAGTAACAGAAAAGATGGTTCGGGATTGGAAAGCAAATGAAAAAGCATTAAAGAGTATGCCATGGGATAAGTGTGCATTAAGAAGAGGCACCCCACATTGGCCATAACTCGAAAAACATGTAGCAGACATGGTGAATGAGCATCGCCAAAACGGTTATGTAGTGACACGAAATAAAATACGTTTGTTTGCACTTCAGTGGGCCAACTCTAACCCAGGTCACAGCAACAGATTTAAGGCCACTGTATCCTGGTGTACTTGATTCATGGGAAGGCATAATATGGTACTGAGGCAAAAGACGAAAATTGCCCAGAAATTACCTGCAGATCTTGATCGCAAAGTACATAGTTTCCATCGATACGTAATACAGCAGCGCACTAAACATGGCTATGCATTAAGTAGTATTGGAAATATGGATGAAACTCCAATTAATTTTGATATGGTTGGAAATAAAACTGTCAATCAAAAAGGTGAAAAAACAATTTTAATTAAAACAGGACATGAGAAGTCCAGTTTTACAGTGGTACTAGGATGCACAGCTGATGGCGCCAAACTGAGACCAAAGAAAAACAATGCCGAAACTCAAGTTCCATGTTGGTTGTTTTGTACATGTGAATGAAAAAGGCTGGATGGATGAAGAAGGGGTAAAGCTATGGCTTGATAATGTATGGAGCAGGCGACCAGGTGGACTTATTCAAAAACGTAGTCTACTGGTGTGGGATATGTTTAGGGTTCATTTAACTCCCAGCACCAAGCAAAGGTTTGCAAGACTAAACACAGATGCGGCAGTTATTCCTGCAGGATTGACATCGTTGGTACAGCCACTGGATGTACCAACGATGTCAATCCTGCACAAGCCATTTATAGATCGCATTCGAGAACAGTGGAATGAATGGATGGTTAGCGGCGAAAAGTCATTCACAAAAGGAGGAAACATGCATGCTCCACAGTTGGATGTTTTGTGCAAGTTTGTCATAAAAGCCTGGAATGATATTGATGCAGAAACAGTAATCAAGTCTTTCAAGAAGTGTGGCATATCAAATTCACTAGATGGTATGGAGGACAACTACTTGTGGCAAGATGAAGAGGAAGCCAAAGCTGAGACCACACCATCTGATACAGAATTCGATCCATACGATGACTGCCTTACAAATGTATCACAAGATGTTATTGATGTACTTATGATATCAGATGACGAACAGGAGGATTTTGAAGGCTTTTAAATGGAAACTGTCACGCCAGCAAAAGCTGTAAAAATACAGTGGTTTTGCAGTTATGATGGGCGTTGCTAACTCGCCAGGGACTTGCTCTCTCTCTTTTGTTTGCTATCTTCCTCCTATCATCATCAGTTCCAGTTTGGTTGACAGCTTAGAAAACAAACAGCATGGCAGCTCCCATGGGGTTATTGTCTTATCCTTCCTTTCAGCTTTAGAGTGAATTAGGAAATGTTTAATCCACTTGCACATGTTTACATGTTTGATGACAAACAGCCTTATGTTTATAAGTGACAGTTTTCCTGCTAAGTACCTGCATGTCATAAGCATTTGAATTAAAATTACCATATTGAAATCAAATCTGATGTTTTTTTAATTTTTATTTGGTGTGCGTTGGAAGAGGGGTAGTCTTATACGGTGAGTAATTTCCAAACTCTATATTTTAACTGGAAAAGTTGGGGGTCGACTTATACGCCGGAAAATACGGTATATTTCATTTTATTGACCGCTTTAATTGAAGACAAACTACAACTTTGTTTAATGTAAATAACTTATTGCTTTTTTTTTTTATATATATTTTATTTAATTTGTGAGCTAACCGCACATTGTAAAATGTTTTCCCCATCTTTAATACAGTACCTGGATTCTGTTAGACCTCTGATGAATGATGAGGAGTTCAAACGCATGACTGCCCTGGCTAAAGATTTTGAAGTGAAACTAGCACCAAAGCTGCAGTGGTACCTGAAACTGAAATCCTGGTGGGCCTCCAACTATGTAAGAACACAGCTATTATTAGTTTGACTCTAAAAAGGCTTTATGATGCAGTAATGGACCAACTGGTTAATGCAATTATTCCAGAACTACATTTACTTTTTTCATTCTGTAGTCTTATTGAGCCTTATGTTTAGGAAATCCAATTTTGCAAGCATTTGCAGAATTTGCAAAATTACCCATAACTCCACTGGGTGGAATGTTGCATAACGTTTAACCAGCATCAGAAAAAAAGAGTATTTCACTTCCCTCCTTTTGTTGGGAGAATTTGATTAAACTAATCAAGGCTGTATTGTAATAACCATATAAACTTATTGTTGCACATCCCAATTACCCAAAAAAATCTAACAAATTTGTAATAAGGAATAAGGATACCAAAAAAAAAAAAAAATATATATATATATATATATATATATATATATATATGTATGTATATATATATATATGTATGTATGTATGTATGTATGTATGTATGTATTTATTGTTTTATTTTTCCCAGGTGAGCGATTGGTGGGAAGAATATATTTACTTGCGTGGTCGTGGACCCATCATGGTTAACAGCAACTATTATGCAATGGTGAGTACTTGTACCTTTTTTAAGGATGTGTATAAAAAAAAAAATTTTTTTTCACCAAATAAGCTAGTTCAGCGATTCTTCAAACAATTCAAAATGACCCACGAGCGGTGCACATTCTTTTTGATAACCGGTTTGTAACAAACTAGTAATCTCAGCATTTTTGCGTGACCGAGTATCTAAATGTTTGTGAATATGCAGTTTAATTTATTTAAAGCGGCACTGTCATGGTCAAATCCAGGTTTTTTTTCTTTTGTTTTTTTAACCCTTTCCCGACTCCACTACATCTAATTGTCCCCCTATTCACCCCCCAATGCCCCTAAGCCTCCCATATTACCTCTTTTTTTTAATCATTATTGTGCCCTGACCTTGGCCTGTGGCTGCTCACTGTTGAAAAAAATAATCACCCCCTTCCCACCCACGCCCAACAAATGGCATCTCTTAACTAGCAGGGGGGGGACATAGGGTTCCCCCTTAGCCCTCACCCATGGGGGCCCTAAATAAAAAAGGGGGGCCTATTGTCCACCCCCCACCCGTGAGTGGCGGGTGGGGCTCCTAAATGAAAATGGGGCGCGGTACAGATGGGGGTTCGGGAGGGAAGATACTAGGGTTTGTTTTTGTTTTGTTTTTTTAACGGGGCAGTAGTGATGTCCCGAACAGTTCGCCGCGGACAGCGAACATATGCGGTAAACTTTGACCCTGTACCTCACAGGTACCTCACAGACACATTCCAGCCAATCAGCAGCAGACCCTCCCTCCCAGACCCTCCTACCTCCTGGACAGCATCCATTTTACATTCATTGTGAAGCTGCATTCTTAGTGAGCTGTCCAGGAGGTGGGAAGGTCTGGGAGGGAGGGTCTGCTGCTGATTGGCTGGAATGTGTCTGCTGACTGTGTGGTACAGGGTCAAAGTTTACTCAATGATGAGTCCGCGGCGAACCGTTCGGGACATCAATACTCGCGATATAGCGAGTATGGGCAGAATTTACTAATACTATGTAATCTTTACTTAGTATTAGTACATTTGGCTGAAAGACCAATTTAGGTCTCTCAGCCTTTTGGTAGATGGCTCCCGAATATCATGGTAATTACCGAATTGCATCCCAACACGAATGGAGAAACTGTTCTCATTCTGTTTGGACGAAATTTTATAGTTTCGCCGGCGTTCTGTCTAAAATGACAGGACGTTCAGAAATACGGACAGGGAGCATTATGGGAAAATTTCTCTGACCACCGGGAAAGAAGCACACTTTGTTCCTCCGCTAGTCAGGAGTAGGAAACCTCCATAAGACAAATAGTCCCTATTTTTGTCTTAAGATTTAAAGCAAACTAGAGCAGACAGGAAGAAATGAAGAACAGATCCTGACAGAGGGAGAAAGAGGAATCGATTGGGTAAAGGTAAGTTCGGCATGACAGTGCTGCTTTAATCATGTGAATCAAACTCTGCTAAGTGCCTGGAGCGTTGACAACTTTTCCCTCTTTCCAAGGCTGCATTTTCTGTTACTGCTTATGTATTCAAAAAGTCTCTCTAAATTATATTGTTTTCTCAATACTTTAGGACTTTTTGTATGTCACACCCACCCCTATTCAAGCAGCACGGGCAGGTAACACCGTCCATGCTCTTCTCTTGTACCGACGCAAACTTAGTCGTGAGGAGCTAAAGCCGGTAAGAAATATATTCAGAAATAATGCATTCATGTGTGAATGGAATATATTCTCATTTATGTTTAGACATTAGATGTTTTATTTCTGTTAATGACCAGTTGCTAGTACAGTTTAAGGTCCATTTTAATTCTCTACCTGTCACATCTGCATGAGAACTCTTGAAATCAAAATGTTTATCATGTAATTATAGTGTAGTATTGTAAAATATTTTAATCTGCTATAATACGTAAGTGAATTTACTTTTTTTTTGTTTGATTTTGGAGGAAGCTTATAAATATTATTTATTGAAACTTAAAGCTAAACCTGGTGTGTATATATCATCAGTGCAATATTTATTATGCTCTTTGATTAGTTCAATGGGTGGAGCTTTAAGTGAGGACTTTACTTCAATTATCTTGCATTGTTATTTCCCCCCACACGGTACTGCTCTACGATGGTTCTATACCCCGGGCGTGCTTGTTTGCTGCATACCCAACTCTTATAACTGTGTGCAGAGCAGGGTCCCAGGATCCATAATCCCGCTGTGCTCGGGCCAGTGGGAGCGCACCTTTAACACAACCCGCATACCAGGATTGGAGACAGGTGAGTGAGAGGGTGAACCAGAATCAACGTCCTCATTGCCCCCATATTTCTGGTGAATGGGACCTAACAAAGACCCAATTCTTCTAACTCTTCGTATGTCCTCTAATTGAATTTCTGTGTGAAGCTATCGCACCTTAGGTTCTGCCCTTGAGGATTTAGAGCTTTCTGCTACAAATCCCATGTACGTTTTTTACAGCTTACCATCTGTAATGCATCTTTTATAGATCTTTAGACCCTTTGATGTCTCTGATATTCAGCATTTTCATACAGAAGATGATGCAATAGGTAATTATTCTTTCACTTCAAGCAGTTAATTTAGGCAAATCTGATCTCACTGTGGTGAGTAGCGAAAGCTCCAAATCCTTTCTACAAAACCTAAGAGTAATTATACTAGCAACCTAAACATTCTAGCAGGGCAAAGGGTTGTCTAGATCTGCATGTGTGAGCAAGAGCTTTATGTAAATGCTGTTGTACTTAACTTGTTATGTATTATTAATCTCTTTTAGCTGGTGGAGTGTCTTTATTGATTACTGTGTTCTCTTTGCCTCCCCTTTCCCATGCTTTTGTTTTTTTGTTGTTTTTTTCCTCCCCACCTATGGTATTTTCTGGTCCACACCATGCACACTACTTAACCCAATCCTTTCTACTGCCTTACCCTTCTCTCTTTTAATGTTGGTTTGTGGCATGTACTTACCCACTCATATTCACTCACTGTACATCGACTCTTTTGTGTGTTGTCTTTCTACTCCCAACTTTCCCTTCTTTCGTAAATGTCGGTCTGTGGTTCCCCTTTCCCTTTCTATACAGCTGATGATCCAAGATTGTTTGCCAATGTGCTCAGCTCAATACGAGTACATGTTTAGCACAGTACGAATACCAGGAATTGAAACAGGTAGGAACAATCCTGTACATTCCTCGTGCAAATAGTTTGCCTAATTCCTGTGCCTTACTACAGCTTTTCAAGCACATCTAGTTGTAGGGCTCTTCCACAATTAGGGATAGGCATCTATCCTTTTGGATATCCACCCGCAAATTATTTCAAATGCTTTAAAGAGAAAGTAAAGTGAAAATATATATTGCTTAAAGGGATTCTCCAGAGCCAGAAAAAAAACCCGCTTCCCTGGCACTAGAGAAACCTGGAGTGCCCCCCTCCCTCCCGTCCCCCCATCCCATGTCACTGAAGGGATTAAAACACAGTTCTCTGGAATTGCAATGTTTTACATTGCAGCACTAAGTGCAAAAGGGTCACAGCACCCAGACTACTTCAATTAGCTGAAGTGGTCTGGGTGCCTATAGTGTCCCTTTTAATGTCCTTGCAGAATATACAGAATGTATATTTTTTGGGGGGGTGTAGGTTGGTTTAGACTTTCATGATGCTGTGTGTTCCCCTTCCCTGCATTTAAAATTCTCTTTGAAACACTTTGGAGTCTTTCAGTTTCAAGCTCCTGAGACTATTTTTAAATAAAATTGACTGCAAACTTAAGTCCTAAAATACTTAGTACTGTATAGAGCCTACATGCTGCACATTGCGGGATATTGCCTGTGAATTCAGCAATCATGTCAAGCAAAATTTAAAAAAGGAAAAAAAGTAATATCTATTTTTTTTGTATTTTACTATCTCTTTAAAATATACCTGCATTTTGTTTTTTCTTTTGGTGGGGTCTAAATGAAATTGTTTTTTTTCTTTACTTATTTAGTATACTAAACATACCTTTTTGCTTGAGGGGGAAAAAAAAGAGCTAGTTTTGTGTACTAACACTATTTTAGAGATCCCTGCAGTTGCTACTCTCTCTACGATGCAAAGCAGAGTCGTGGTTGCTACTTAACAGAGAAATCACACTTAAACCAAAAACTTACATTGATCAGAAATGGCTTATGTCTTATTTGTTAAAGTAGTAAAATATTAAAGGGACAATATATTCACCAGAAGCTCTACAGGTTAAAGGACCACTATAGTGCCAGGAAAACATACTTGTTTTCCTGGCACTATAGTGCCCTAAGAGTGCCCCCACCCTCAGGGTCCCTCTCCCGCCAGGCTCTAGGGTGAGGAAGGGGTTAAACTTACCTCTCTTCAGCGCCAGGCGGGGAGCTCTCCTCTCCGCCTCCTCTTCGGCTGAATGCGCATGTGCGGCAGGAGCCGCACGCGCATTCAGCCAGTCTCATAGGAAAGCACTATCAATGCTTTCCTATGGACGCTGGCGTTTTCTCACTGTGAGACAGTCACTAGAGGCTGGATTAACCCATTTATAAACATAGCAGTTTCTCTGAAACTGCTATGTTTATAGAAAAAAGGGTTAAACCTAGCTGGACCTGGCACCCAGACCACTCCATTAAGCTGAAGTGGTCTGTGTGCATATAGTGGTCCTTTAATATAGTGGTTCTGGGACATGTAACCTGTCCCTGGTTACATGAAGATGAAGAAGAAGAAAAAAAACAAACTTTTTTTTAGTGACTTCCTGGTTGTGGAAATATTGCAGGGCCAATGTTCAGCTTCTTCACGCTCTTCAGAGAGACGCGGAACAGAGTTACTTTGACTCAGTGGATCTCTCTGAAATGGAAGTGCTGATTTTCTGTGTATGCACTAGCCTCCCAATGCTTCCCTATGGAGAAGCATTGGATTGGCTGAGATCATCAGGACCATGGTTAGACCAGCGCAGCAAAGAAAGAAAGATGAGTTTAAACGCCTTTGACACTCTAGGAGGCTGGTAAGCCAATTGGGTAGGGTAACACTATAGTGTTAAGGACACGTGTTTGTATTCTTAACACTTTTGTGGCCCTTTAACTGTAGTAATTGTAGTGTTCGGCAATACATAATAAACAATTGACTTGTAGAATTTACTTAGATGGGAAGTTAAAAGGCCCCATTCAGACAGCATGATTAAAAAAGTGGATGGTAGGATGATTTAAAAGAGATCTCATTGTTGTGATGTGTTTCAATGGCATTTCTCTCTAAACAGATACCATACATCACTACACGGACAGCAAGCACATAGTGGTGTACCACAAGGGACGATTTTTTAGGGTGTGGGTGTACCACGGTGGACGCATGCTTAACCCCAAAGAACTGGAACTCCAGTTTCAACACATCCTAAATGACACAAACCCACCTCTGCCTGGAGAGGAAAAGCTGGCAGCCCTAACCGCTGGAGACAGGTAGCAACACAGTTAAATTACAGCCAAATGCAAAGCCATTCATTACACAATCCATATTTTTAGATTTCAACTCTATGCTGGTGGCCTTATGGTAAAAAGGAAATTTCTAAATAAAATTATAATGGCACGTGTATTATAGACAAAAACTCAACAAATGGACATTGTTTTTTTTTCTTTTTTAATGTATATATTTAATTTTTATATTGTAATTCAATTAAATCGATATAAAATAAAACCTTCACTAAAGTAGTATCTAATTTAAAAATAAAAATCTAACAGGCTTATTCAGTAACATAAGAATTATCAGGAATTCAAAGTGAATTGAAATGTAAGGCCAAAACAATTTACAGCTGCTCTGTTACGTCAAACTTGCCTTTCATAAATCGATTTCTCCTCTTCTTTCCGAATATGTTCTTCCTTTCTTTCCTTTCTTTATTTCTGTTGTTCTTCTAGTAAAATACATAAGTAGGGGACTACCTTGTCTTATTTTATTTATTTTTTTACGATACGAGGTGGAGCATAAGGCAAACTCCACTTCCTTTTTGAAATATAATTTTCCAGCAATACTTGACTCCCCGTCTTGATCCTCCTCTTTATTCTTGCTCCTTTTTTGTCGCATAACCCTCAATGAAAAATGGTCAGCTGGCATGCGATGTAGTAACATACTACAGTATATTTTGTTTCCTGTCCTCCTTTTTTTCATATTGACTCATTCTGATTTGCATTTGAGGAAACCCACAAGGTGTTCTGTATCCATACACACCCAGAAAGAAGAGACTCTGGTTTGCTCCAGCTGCCTACCTACATCTAATAAAAGCTAGAAATATTATCTGCTAAATTACAGCAGGAGAGTCATAATATTCTGATATTGCAATCTGGAAGATGTACTTACAGAATAATAAAGATCTATACATTTACACAGCGGTAGATTTAATGTCGCACCCATATCAGGGGGGAAAAAAAAACGTGAGTGAGAGATAGATGTAACATATATCTGACCAGTATCTACTGTATCAGCCCCTGATTATTGAATCATTAACTAGTGTTCGGAATAGGACCTATAATGGCCATGTCATTAGATGTTGACGTTTTTCCTGAACTGGCAGCAATCGAAAATTATTTCCATCAATTACCAAATTTATAATTTGCTAAACTCCACTTCAAAGCATTTTGCCTGTTTATCTAGTGAGGATTGCTTATAAATGTGGGGAAACTGGCATTGAAAAAGGCTTTGGGTTATTTAGAAAAGTGAGAATTTTAAGTGAGATCTAATTTAAGGTCAAAATCGCTGAACTAGGAAGATGAGCTCTCAGTTCGATTACTCCGGCCTTAAATTTACCATGGATTCTCTCTTTAGTAAATAATCCTGATAGCTTGTCGAATTTAATCTTTCAAAGAATTCAGAGTTCTGTGGTACTTTCTGAATGCCTTTGTTAAATTGCAAAATATCTGTAGCAACTTGGCAGATATAAAAGATTTTGAGCCAACGCATTCTAACAAGATGTAGTTAATGTTAATTTGAGAATATTATTCTGTGAGTTTCTTCCTAACTCATTTCCTGCTTCCTTTTGAAGGGCTACCTGGGCCAAGGCTCGTAGTGCATATTTTAGAAGTGGAAAGAACTTACAGGCACTGGATCTAGTGGAGAAAGCGGCTTTCTTTGTTACTTTAGATGAAGATGAGCAGGGACTTCGTACTGAGGATCCCATACATTCACTGGATGCCTATGCTAAATCACTTCTCCATGGAAAATGCTACGACAGGTTAGAACCACAAGTTATTTCAACTCTGCGATTATATTTTGCCATGTGTGTTTTTAGAAGATGTTCACTAGACATATGAGTGTCTGCTCAGGCTATCACAAATGGATCATTTAAACATATGTCTCATATGTTTGCTCTAAACAAATATAGAGTATTCTACTCCGGATAAAGAAAGTCAATGTGTAGCTCCCCTTAAATGCTTCTGGGAACCCTCTTGGTTTTCCAGATGCTATCCCCTCAGGTTTAACTCTACAAAGAGCACACCAGATAATACACATTGAAAGTTCTCAGGCTTATCTAAAAGCAAAATCTGCAAAACGAAAGCAAGATGTAATCGTCTCAAGAAAGCAAGTTATCTTGATTAGTAGCAGTTTAGCATTCTTCCATTTAAAGCACAGATTGTATTTTTCTACTGGATTGATTGGTTTCATGATAAACTTCCTTATTTTGCTTTGAGTAGTCTTGAGCAATTAATCCTTTGTCTGTAGTTCATCCTACAATTAACTTTTTTTTTTTGTGTGTGTGTGATTACTTCAGGTGGTTTGACAAATCGTTTACATTTGTGGTTTTCAAGAATGGGAAGGTGGGACTGAACGCTGAACATTCATGGGCTGACGCACCTATCGTCGGCCATTTATGGGAGGTAATATATATATGTGTATGTACAATAAAAAATGTCAAATATAGTGTACAGGCATTAGCACCAGAAAAAGGTAGTGTTTATGTATGTTAAATGTTTTCTTGCGTTGTTTAGTCCTGGAAAACACAATGTAGTTATTTAAATATTCATTTATACATACTTCCTAATTAAGCAGCTTGGCAATTTTCCGGTGCTCAATTTTTTCCATAGCCTTTCCAACATTCCAAAATGTTTTTGTGGTTCTATTTGGAGGTAACTTTTTTTTTTTAACCCCTTTAGTGGCGGTGATATGTGGGTAATAAGTTACCCAACCTCCTAACAATTAGTCTAAATAACATGTACTTTATTTTACAAGAAGTAGGCTAGAAGGAGAACCTTTTCTGCTCTGGAAATTCCATTTTTTAAAATGTGATTCTCCATTTTATTTAAAATTTCTGTTAAAGATTTAGCAAATTGCATTATAATGCAGTTCAGTCCAGGCGCAGCCAAGACGCGTATTGCAGATAAGGAGGAGAAATTGCAATTTTTTTTATAATTTCTCCACTTCTGTCTCCTTTCTCTATGCTGACTAATAGGTGCAAAGAAGAGAGATTACAACAATGATTGACAGGTAGCCAAGATGGAGGCAGACATTATAGAGGGTGGATTTTTACATTTAATTCTATTTTTCAGAATTGACAAATATGTATTTTTTTGAATACAGGAAAAAGTTAAGATAATCCTACAAAATCCTAGTTAAGCGACAGTTCCCCATTATCTAATAACTGAGTAGCAATACTGCTTTACTATCTGTCAGAAAATTACAATTCAGTTACCAGATAAATGCTTATTTCTTACAATATAATGTTGTCCTCTGAAGCAAGGAGGAGATACTTATCTGATTTACATTTGTTGCAGTGTGAATTCCCAAAAAGTATATCGGTATAAAATAGTGTGAATTCCCAATGCATATTCCCATAGAATCCAAAAATCCCACCTTCATTAAAGCTTTATTTCATTGAACTCTTTCCATTATGAATGTCTTCCAGTCCATGCTGGCCACAGATTGCTTTCAGCTCGGGTACGATGATAATGGACACTGTAAAGGCCCAGCTGACTCCACTTTGCCTGTACCGCAGAGAATGCAGTGGGATATCTCAGACGAGGTGAGCGGTGTCCCTGGAAAGGATGACTCTTTGATTGCTACTTCTTTGGTTTCTTTAGACATTGATGTATTTTGCAGTGAACTATGATATTTAGGTATTATTCACTAAACCAGGATTTCTGAAGAACTGCCAAGATTATTGCAAATTTTAGCCCTATATACACAAACTTGAAAGGTAGCGGGTTGTACAATTTTTTTCAATTTGACTATTTTGGCCCAAAAAATTGCTATTTTCCAAAATGTTCAGATTACCAAAAACAAATCCCATATGTACTGTTTTCATTTTATAATGTGAAAGCCTCAAAAATAGTGTTCATGGGTGCAGAACTTAATTTCTAGGTAATCCTTATTTACCCTGGCAACAGAAAGTTATATTGTTGCTTAATGAGTAGACAGTTTGTCATGGTTTCATCTTAACATGCACTTACATAGAGCAATAATGGGTGACCCTCAACTACGTAAAGATAAATGCGCGAAACCAAAATGTTTGGCATCCACAGGTGCCGTTAGAAAACTATACTTCCTGTATTGACAAAATGCTAAAGGAGAGTATTACAAGCTGTAATACAACTTCTTTTATGTAACATAATCTGAACCACTTTCATGAGAATTAAATCTTTCACGAGATAACTAACCTTGTAGAATATGAATATGACTATTGTCCAGGCTTTACAAAGAAAAAAATAAGTTGCAGATAAAATGTGCAGCTACTGTCTCCTCGTCTAGTATGTGTTTCCGAAGGGGAACAGACCGTGGGAAGCAGGATAAATACTGTAATAATCACATGCATCACACATGCTGCTTGCTCAGTATCTGGCTCGTACTTTTGTATGGCATGAAATATTTTATCCGCTCCCCAGTTGCTGTGGAGGTCTCCAGCAGCACAGTAAATTCCCATGTATTGCTTGGTTTTAAGATTTGAATTGTTTGTATTTATGATTTTGTTTGTTTGTTTGTGTCATGCATTAAAAAGGATTGGGTTGATTCCATGTATATCACGTGACAGTCCTATTGATAATATTCTTGTTTTGTTTGTCAGTGCCTGGAAGTCATCCAGAGCTCCCTGAATGTAGCTGAGGCGTTAGCAGCTGATGTGGATTTTCATGCATTCCCCTTTAATGATTTTGGCAAAGGATTAATAAAGAAGTGCAAGACCAGTCCTGATGCCTTCATCCAAATCGCTCTTCAGCTTGCGCACTATAGGGTAAGGTCTGGGGCTCTGTTCAGCTTAATCTAAGGCATTCTGTCAGGAGAGTTGTTTCCTATTTCCCTGGATCCTATTAAGTAAAAATCATTGAAGTGTAGCATTGAGGAGAGGAATATAATATTACATGTTTGACCTTTTCCTCCAGTCTATTCCAGGCAGAGACAGCTTGGTCCTCATTTAAAACTGGCTTATCTAATATTTAGAACTTTCATTATACCGCCAGTACTCTCCCTTTAAGTGTTTGAGATGGCCCTACAGCAGTTATGATGATTAGTAACAATTCATGGATGCATTTGCCAATTCTGTCTTCTAAAATATAGTTGGTGCAGTATTTCAGTGAAAAACAAATGGCAGTAATAGCAAACCGCATCGCATGGCCTCACCTTAATGGTGGATCTTTACAAGGAGGGGCGCCGTATGAGGCAATGATTAAATAAACTGCAAGTATACTGTAAAACATGGTAAATGTCTTTCTGGCAGTGGCAGCATGTGATCAAACAAAATCTTCATAACACCTCAATATATAGACTTTTCTTAACTGCCCAAAACACGGATTGATTTTTATTGGATAGTGTGGGCTGGCTGTAGGGTTGTATCCTACCCACTCATCGGAAGCACCCGAATGTTGTAGTCCAAGTCTGCCAAATGCTGCCATGGCCAATCAACATCTTTCTCGAGATGCATTGAATCAATGCATCTCTTTGAGGAATGTTCAGCGTCCTCAAGCAGGGCGTTGTGCAACACTGACCCAGGAAGCATCTCTAGTGGCCGTCTGAGTGAGTGCCACTGGAAGTATCCCTAGGCACTAATGTAAACACTGCCTTTTTTTTTTTTTTTTTTGAAAATGCAGAGTTTACATTAAAATGCTTGCAGGGATATCCTATACTCACCAGAACAACTACTTTAAGCTGTAATTGTTCTGGTGACTATAGTGTCCCTTAACCGGGATACTTTAGGCACCCAGACCACTTCATCTCATTGTAGTGGTCTGGCTGCACTGCCCCTGTTCCCTTTATCCGATAGCTGAAAACATTGCAGTTTTAGAGAAACTGCAATATTTACATTTCATGGTTAAGACTGCCCCTAATGGACGTGGAGACTGAGCCAGCGCCGCAAACCTTAGTTCTGGTATTGTTTAAGTGTTTAAATAATTTTTTTTTTTAGGTTCTTATTCCATTGCCACAGGGTAGGGGGTGAGGAGGAGGAGGATTGCAGGGACAGAGGGACCCTGTAGTGTACAGCTTTGTATTCCTAACACTATAGTAGTAGTATTTCAGCTTTACTCAGTCCCATGACATTGTGGGAATTTCTTCAAAAGGGACAGTGTAGGTACTGTAACTTTTTCATATCATTAAATTGGTTATAATGCTTGATGTCCTGTGGCTCGGTTCATTCACTCTTAACAATTTTCAAACTGCTTAACACTAAATAATGGCCCCTCGCCACCCACAGTTCGACCCCTACTGTAGGTATGACAAAGGCAAAGTTTACATACTTCCTTCTTGCCATACCAATTCATACCAGCAATGGGTGCAGTGATCAGCTGACACGCTCAGCCAAATTACAGATACCCCTTGTTGGTCAGGTTAATGCTTTCTTATTCGTCCAAGCAGCACAGAGAATGGGCAACTGGGGACTCTAGTTTAGCATTAAAACATTAAAATTTTGTTATGCTGAATGTCGCCAAGGAACTCCAGACTCTATAACTACGAGATGCAGCAATTATAGTTCCTACAGTGTCCCCTGTCGAACACAGACAATTTTGACAACGTCCAACAGCAAAGTCTTTAATTTCCTGTACTCATGGAAGTGAATAAGGTGATATGAGTCTCTGGGTGCCATTTTAGGTCAAACCCTTTTTAAGTGGTGTTACAAAACAAGGGCATTCACAACTACGCGATCTGTACAAAGTTTCATGCTGCACAACACTTAGATGTTGTCAGTAGCCTATTGCAGGGGTCATTATTAATAAACCTTAATATTAATAAATGACGAGACTCACAGGAAAAATTCAGAAGATCTGCACAGAGGGCCACACAAAATCTTGTCCCACTATTTAATACAAGTAATGAATAGTGTAGTAGTCTAGACTATAGTAGATCTACACAATGTTGTCCTATATGCCCCGCGTGATACTGCTAACAGTGTTTGCATTGCACTGTTAACTCCTCTGCAAGTGGCCGTCATACAAACATCTACTAGATGCCCTGCCACGGTAGAGACAGTGAAATACGGTCACGTGATGTGGAAGCCCCATAGGGCTTTGAATGTGAGCTCGGCAGTTGCTGCACATGCACATTAAATCCCCAACACCCTTCTATGAGGAGAGGTCAGCAGCTCCTTGAAAGTAACAAGTTAGCAGTTTTCTTTTTTGTTTCTGTAGCTAGGAATCTATATGGAGGTTTGTTTGGCATTTTAATTTGAGCCATTGGCTTGATATAGTGCAGAGACCATGCTGATCAAACAAGTCTGCAAATGTAGAACATTGTCTATAGTTTATTTTCTGAGCTTGCAAGAAAGGCTTTCCAGATCTCCTGTATGTGTCTGTTCTGTCACTTAAACCAATTTATTCTTTTTTCTATTTATTTCTTATTAAGGACAAAGGAAAATTCTGTTTAACATACGAGGCTTCCATGACCAGGCTTTTTCGGGAAGGAAGAACTGAGACCGTACGCTCATGTACTGTGGAATCGTCTAATTTTGTGAAATCTATGGCTGATTCATCTGCAACAGTGAGTGTTGCTCTGTCTATCCCATTATCAGGCTGTAGTGCTGTGTTGGGGCAGGAGGAGAAGGTGTATAAATGATTAGAAGTCCCACTTTAAATAATCCAGTCACTAAAATTGAGTGCAGCTGTGAGACTTGCTATTTAGTAATAACCAACTAATCAACTGACTGCAAAATTGAGGTGGTTCATCTTGTATTTGTACTTAAGTGGGGAAAAAAAGGTTTTTCTTTTTGTTTTTTTTATTATGCGTCTAATATTCTAATATATATATTTGATTTTGTTTTGTTCTTTGTACTCCTAGAATGCCGAAAGACTTAAACTTTTTAGACTTGCAGCGGAAAAACATCAGTTGCTGTATAGAAATGCCATGACAGGTGCAGGAATTGATCGACATCTTTTCTGCTTATATGTTGTGTCAAAGTATCTTGGATTGGATTCGCCTTTCCTGAAAGAGGTGCAGTTTTGTTATATTCTTTTATTATTACTCGTTGTCGTTAATGCCTGCTTAGTGTCAGCCACCCATTGACACTGACGCGCACTTTATGTTAAAACGCAAACACAATTAAAGCTAATTGGCAAAATGATTTCTTGACGCAGCACAGATGTACGTATTTGGTTTTCTCTTTAGAATAACAATTATACTATAATATCTATCATTCAGAATCTATTCTACGTGCAAAAACATAATCCCAAGCATTAAAAACTTCTGAATTTGGCACCAGTTTAATACATCTATTGAACAGAAATAGACATTTCCTTGCCTGCATGATGTCTCAAGCCCCAGTTTGTACAGTTCAATGTAATGATTCTCCTTTTCCCGGCTTAGGTCCTATCTGAGCCATGGCGCCTCTCCACCAGTCAGACTCCAATTCAGCAAGTGGAGCTGTTTGACCTGGTAAATCACCCAGAGTATGTCTCATGCGGAGGCGGCTTTGGACCTGTAAGTAAACATCAAACTCTTTTTTCTCTTTTTATTATGATAAATAAGTCTCTATATTGTTATTAAAGTACTATTCTAATAGAAAACTATTATTTTGTTTTATTGAAGCAAAATGAAAGTATGACTGCGTGTGTTTTGATTGAACTGTCATACGAGTTATTTATATATTTCTTACCTGGAAGCTGGATACTTACAGATACAGCGGACCTGTGTAAAATACACAATTAACAGTGATAACATATCTTCTTTTACTCCTTCTATCATGTTTGTCGAGCACTTTTATTAACTTATATCATATTAAAACAAGTGTAAAGCAGCAGCAAAGTTCATTTTCTGCTAGACATTTTCCTTTCTCTTACGTTGTAAAGTAAACTGTTATAAAGTAGTTGGTGATCTGCTGTTGCAGAGTGTAACAGCTTTCCACTTTCCAGCATGTGCTCATATTAATAAATCACTGTCAGAAAGCCTTACTTAAAGGACCACTCTAGGCACCCAGACCACTTCAGCTTAATGAAGTGGTCTGGGTGCCAGGTCCAGCTAGGGTTAACCCATTTTTTCATAAACATAGCAGTTTCATAAACATAGCAGTGTTTATGAATGGGTTAAGCCTTCCCCTATTTCCTTGACAGCCACTAGAGGCCCTTGCGTGCTTCTCACTGTGATTTTCACAGTGAGAGCACGCCAGCGTCCATAGGAAAGCATTATGAATGCTTTCCTATGTGACCGGCTGAATGCGTGCGCAGCTCTTGCCGCGCGTGCGCATTCAGCCGACGGGAGGAGAGAAGGAGGATCGGAGGAGGAGAGCTCCCCGCCCAGCGCTGGAAAAAGGTAAGTTTTTACCCCTTTCCCCCTTCCAGAGCTGGGCAAGGGGGATCCTGAGGGTGGGGGCACACTCAGGGCACTATAGTGCCAGGAAAACGAGTATGTTTTCCTGGCACTATAGTGGTCCTTTAATGGATTTATATATATTTATATATTGTATCTTGTTTTCTAGGTGGCTGATGATGGATATGGTGTCTCATACATTATCGTTGGTGAAAATCTGATCAACTTTCACGTGTCCTGCAAATTCTCAAGCCATGAGACTGTAAGCAATCTAGGATTCCTTTCAGCAAGTGTCCTCTATGTAACGGGTGTTCGTGTTCTATAAAAAAAAAACTTTATATTGGACAATGAGGTCCCCTTCAGTCAACTCCTAAAGTTTAACTTTTGGCATCAGTAGATATCCTTCCTAAAGAGTGATTCTTTGTCTGTGCAGTAGGGTTTTCTTGCACTCTATTCTCAGACTGAGGGCAGTGCTTTGATTTGTGAGTATGCAAGTATGTGAATGCCCCGCCATACCTGTTATTTATATTTCTTTACTGACAGACGTTTACATTATTTTAGTGTGTTATGTAGATAATACATTATAGATATATGTACAAATGGGGAATTCCTTTTTGTTGCTCACTTAGCATCAACAAGGAAATTACTGTCAGCTACGTGCTGTATGTACACACATATGGAGTAGCAATAAATATGGGGATTAGTGAAGGATATTGTAATTGGTGCTACTATCACCAATGTGTTCACTCCAAAAGCACACAAAAAAAGTGTAAAATATACAATGAAAACCAGTGAGCGCACACAATATCTAAAATTACGGTGGTAATGTTACATACGGAGTAGCACTTGACACTTGTGATGTCACAGTCCCGCATGTGTTTTAGATTTCCACTCTTTTTTTTTTTTTGGAAAGCATTTAGGATTGCGCAGGAACACGACGAGTGCTTTCCTTGAAGTCAGTACATACTCTCCCAGTGCTACTTGGTAAACCAGTTCCGTGGCCCATCGTGTTGGGTTTTGAATGATGTGCATTACCTGTAGCAATTTATGTGCATACAGTTAGTGTCAAACCGCTTCGAATTCAGTTGTGTGTTGTAAACTGCTTGGCATACCGGCACAGGAGTGATATAAAGTGATTTGTGTCTGCCTTGTGCGAACAGCACCAATGTTATATCTCAGCTGTATCTCTACAGAGCAAGAACATGGCTGAACACATATTTTGCCGTTTTAATTGATACGAATTGCAGCTGCATGCGTTTGAAATAGCATTTCTCCTTTCTCACCTACACAGGACGCACATCGTTTTGGAAAGCACATCCGTGAATCTCTCCTCGATATCTTGGCCTTGTTCAATCTCCAGAAGGCCTAGAATGCATTGTTTTCAATCTCTGTACAAGCCAACATGTGTGCTGACCTAAGAAGCCACGAGGAAATCAAACCAATCAAAGCCATCTACAGGGACCATTCTGTTACTTACTATCCATGAAGTTATTTAATTACATATTGGTCTGTATGAACACCTCTGAATACTGCCTCACACGTGGAATGAAACCTGTATATACAAAAATAGCTGCATATGATCTGTCTCTACAGAGAGCCTAGCTAGTCAGTGCAGATAGCATGTGCTATGTCTCCTGGGTCACTAGAGATGCTTTAAATGGCTCCCACTGACATTTTGTAGTAATATTTAATTTATGGAAGATCCTATCAAGGTTAAACTGGCACATGATAGACAGGTTTGTGTATGCATATTAAATACGTGGCGAAGCAGCTAAATGTGATCAGATACACAAGTTTGGCAACCAGAGAACATCCATTTGTGAGCTGGTGCCTTAAATGCTTATGTGATGTTTATTTTTATTTTTATTTTTTTTTATGCATCTAGTGAAGTGTTCAGCAAAGCAATGCAATTTTTTTAAAGCTTTTGATACTTGCAAAGTTCCAGTGAGCTTTTTGCACAACCCGTGTCAGATTTGCAGCAGATATCTTTTTTTTTTTTTTTTAAAGCACATTGTTACATTTAAGTAATACTTTGTGCGTCTGCGACAGCAGCTCTATTTCAGTTGGTGTCAGCGCTATTGTCATTATGCAAGCATTCTTGCCATGATTCCAAATTATATATTTCAATATAGCGCAGCCTGCAAAAACCTTATTAATCTTTCGGTTGCCACATGGATATGTAGTGCATTGATGCCACAATTCCCTACCTGAGAGGAGGGACGGGTTAAGAGAATATTGTACGATAAGTGCCATCTCTACATAATATGTTCATTTGCAGGTTTTTTTGTTTTACTGTAGCTGGATATTGAAGTTTCAGTATTCTTTGATCTTAACTTTTTACAGATGTTACCATAGCTTGCACCTGGTATAGTTGTGGCTGGTTTCTTATATTTAAAATAAAAAATGTAAAAATATATATTCTAAACACAATAGGGCTGCACTTAGACAATCACTATATTTAACCACACCCACAGCAAAGTGTATTGTATTGTATTGTTTGTTTGTTTAAGTTCAGTGTTTCAGGGGCTTTTTTCTTTTGGTTTTCCTGATCCACAATGAAATTAATTACAATCAGAAATAGACCAAATGAGCAAATATGTCCACAATATTACACCCCAAACAGGAACGAGAGAGTACCACAGATTGAATTTTTGGATGTGAACGCTGACCACATTTCCCTTTAGAGTCCAACTACACAGTAACAAAGAGACCACCTCCTTTTACTACTCCAGTGATTCAAAAAAAAGGCTGCACGTACACACCCATCAAACTCTATAACCTTTGCTTTAGCGGTATCCATTCCAAAAAAGACTTTATACTAAGAAATTACAGGGACAGAAAAAAGGATTGTTTCTCAGCTTGTGCATCTTTTTCTTTTTTTTCTTTTTTTATTATAATTATATGTGTGATTTTCAATGTTTTTTTATATTTCTGTTATACCATGTGTCTTGCTAAATCTCATCTGTATAGAACATTTATCTTAGAATCTTGAGATAAAGATTTGAATCCTCTGGCTTCTTAGATTTTGCAGTCCCCAAAATGTAGACGTTGGGCCTATTTGCAATATTTCTTTGTTTTTCTTGTGACAATTTTTAGAGCAGGGGTAGCCACAATGTTGCTTTTTCCCTTCTTTTTTTTTTTTTTTTGAAATACAACCCTATCACATTCAGCCAGCTACATCTGGTAACGCAATCCTTGTTTGGCTCACTGCAGAATGAGTTGCCATCTGCCCTAATGAGTTTGCATTAGGAAATGATTTATGGTAAGAGTTTTACTGCTTATCTTAAACACTGCTGTGGGTGATAGGAATTGTAGTTTAATAATATTTGAAGCACCTCAGGTTTGCCATGTCATCTTCTATGACCATCCATCTAGTACACAGCAATGGTCATTAAATGCTATTTGTACAAGACGTCCTGATTTGGCCAGGGTGTGTAGAGCATCAAAATAATTTTTACATTGTGCTAGCAAAAGCTGAAGAGGAGAAAGTTTGAAGATATCATCTTTACCACCATTGTTTAGGTCACCATCAAATGTTTCTTTGTTATTAAAGCTTTTTATTTGCAAAGAGGCACCTGCTCATACCTGGAAACTCCTATTTTTGGCCATAAGACTCCAGATCTAGCAGCTGATTTCTAGATCTCCAAACCAAAGTTGTACTCTTTGGGCAACAACTGTCCAATTGCCAGAGAGCACCCTGAACCTAGAGGTCTCTTACTTGGAACCTTACCCGCTTTTCTCACACCATTGAAGGAACAAGGTGGGAATCTCACCACACAAAAAATATGTTTTGAGAGTTTTTAGTATGGTTTAAATATCAACCAGCGAATCATTGAGAGTTAATCTGATTTTATTTCCTAGTACTTGGGCCATGGAAAGGCAATCACGCTGGGACACTTTAATAATCCACTGACTCAGTTAGTAGTGGGACTTTGTACAAGACAATACCATTTTCAATTACTGGCTATGAGGAAAATCTTAATTTCTTTCTTCTGCTTTTTAAATGTTTATATTCCATATGCTTTTGGTGTCACTTGCATTTCTGTTGTTGTTGGGGGAAAAAAGCTCATTTAATTTTGTTTATGCCATTATCAATGCAAATTAAACTTGGGAAGGACTTGAGGGCAATTAAAAGCCAATGTTTAAAACTTGGTATGTTGTCATTTTCTTCATTCATTTGTTAAATTGTCTTATTTAACTTAAACTGATATATAACTTGACAATTATTTTTTTTAAAACCAAAGAGTAAACCCTTTTAAATAAACCAAAATAATGCAAGAAAAACGTTTGAAAAGTATGTAATAAATGTTTATAAACAAACTATAAACCTGGTCAGATTGCATTGTTGGGCACGCCTCTTAATTTCTTCAGCCAGACCCCTTCCCCTTACATAGCCAGTTCACTAATGATAGAAATAAGGCATCATTGTACAGCAGCAGGAAAGAAAAATGACAGGGGAGCCTGCATTTATCACACTAATCAGACAATCACTCTCTTCTCCCCCGTCAGTTGTTACAAGGTGAAGAGATCTTCCAAGTGCACATGTGTAAATTTCTCAGACATGTCCAGTGCACTTTTCCAGCAGTCAGGGATAGGACACTGATTAGGTCAGTGCCCACCTAATCCTTGAAGTGTGTAGAGGAAGCATAGGAAAGAATCAGTTGGTAAACATGCAGAGAAAAATTATATTTACCTGCATTTCAGCTAAAGCTTTTAAATGAAATAGTTGTCTCTGAAGTAGTGAAGGGCTGTTTAAGACCTATGGCCTTTTAGTACTGTACAAATGTATAACGTAATTTTCCAATTAAAGGAGCACTCCATTGGCAAATGTTTTATTTATTTTACTAATTTAGCAGATTTAGCACCAATGAAAATATGCATGTTTTCTTTTGAAATCTACCGAGATATTTGGACACTGACACAATTTTCATAATTTTTGCTCTGTACGCCACCACAATTTGAAATGAAACAGAGCTGCAATTGAATTGCAGACTTTCAGCTGAAATTCAAGGGGTTAAACAAAAATATTGTTTAAAACGTTTAGGAATTGAAGCCATTTTCATATATAGTCCCCTTATTTTAGGGGCTCAAATGCATTTGGACAAATTAGCACAATCATAAATAAAATGTTAGGTTTGAATACTTTGTCAAGAATCCTTTGCAGGAACGTGTTGAGATCAGGAGTTTGACTCGGCCATTGCAGATTATTCCACTTCTTTGTCTTCAAAAAAAACAAAACATGGGTTGCTTTTGAAGTACAGACACTCCACTCTTACTGACCGGGTTCCGTTCCTACGATCCAGTCGTAGAACGAATTGGTCGGTAATTGAGGAGTTAAGGGATTCCCTGTTCTGGTGCAAAGGAAAAGCCCACAGCTGTCCATGAAACCGCAATTGAGTCAACTGTCAAATTACATGTGGTCTCTGCTTCTATTACCTCAAGCACTTGAGACTTGGACAGCCACAGAAAGTCTGGGTGGGGTTAGAAGGGGAGGACTTGCAAAGGCTGCAGACAAGAGAACTTCAGGTTTTGCAAGCCGTTTTTAAATTTACCACCAATCACCAATTGTTTTCAATTGTGGTATATTTACTAAACATTGATTTTTATTTATTTTGTATTTGGGAAGCAAAGTGTTCCTTTAACTGTTGATGTGGCTTGTGAACTGCTGGTATAGATTTCACACATGCTCAGTCTGCTCCAAGTAGTAATGTATGATGCCATTCATTCACTTATGTTAGGAAACATTGGAGCTTGGAGACCAGAGAGAGAAGCATGCTCAGTACCTCTCACCTTCAGTATCCTCCACTTGTTCAAAATCAATTTGAAAGACAGACAGACAGACAGAGACACGCACACACCCACACTTTCTCCCTCCCTCTGTGCACAAGTGGAGACATAATTAAACATGGGTAAAGCAAGAGGCTACTGGAAAATAATATATGAAATAAAAGCTGGGGAAAACTGGAGAGAAAGAGGAGGGGTTGAGCTGGACAATGTGGAATGAGACCCTAAAAGAAGAGAGTGGGTGACTTTATCTGTTTTTGTCTTGCTTATTATTTAGTTCTTATTTAACTGTATTGTGCATCTCTGGCCTCTAGATGTCGCTCTAGGACTGACAGTCCATGTATACCTCAAGAAGGCAATGTAAAATGTAGTTACTATGTACAGTCTAAATTGCTACAAAGGCCAAAATGGATAGAATTGACTTTGATACAATCTAATTCTTTCTCAAAATTAATATTATGATTTACTAACTATGATATATAAACCATATCAGCTCAAATATATAAAAACACAACAAAAAAATAGATTTAATGCATCTTTGTGAGGGGATGCTGATTGGCTAGGGCTGTGTTTGGCTCTGCCCTCCATAAGTTCTCCAAGAGAACTTATCTTGATCTGTCTTGTTGATATAAGCGTGTCATTATTATGAAGAAAATATTTGCAGATCACTTGTCCTGTATGCTGACATATGGTCATCTTTTCTGATATTCTGACATGACTGTCAATCTGATGTTATTTTGCATACACAACACAAAAAAAGATATCAATGGACAATGGCCAAAGTTGTCGAAGCAGTCATTTTCTCGCGACATGGTCTATGGAGGATCATGCATGCATCAGTAACATAGACTCCTGGCAGATGAAGCAACAGGAACTGCTGAAAAAAGATGGTGGTGCATGCAAGGGAGAACATTGGGTACGTATATCTACCTTTGACATTTTTCTTAGGCTGCCGAACACAAAGGCGGGATGTCACCTTCAGAGATCTTTGCTAAATATTTATAGACATCAGAAAGTGACAGAGCTGCTTTAAATTGTAATACTGAAGATACTGGTTTGGGGAGTAATGTCATAAGCTCTTAAAACAAACACGGGCTATAATGCAGAAAATGTATTAAACTGTAATTACTTTGCAACCACACCTTGACTTATATTTAACTGGGAGTCAGAGGCTGGCAACATTTAGGGCTTCCAGTTTCTGTTGTATTCTATTAGAATCTAATAGTTTTTTTCCCCCGAAGTTTGCATTATTGGTCTGGGCAGTGTGTATTATTATTAATAAAGCGCCAACAACTAACTGCAACTCTATACAATACGTGGACAAACAGACAAGTATTTGTAACAAGATGAGTTGGACACACTGGAACAGAGGGTGTTAAGGGGCCTGCTCAAACTTCCTTTCATTCTAGAGGGACTTTAACCCCTGTCCGACAAAAAACATCCATTAACGACCGCGGACGTACCTGGTACGTCCGATAGTAAATCCCCATTTAACTGATTGCTGGCGATCGCAATCCTGGGGTTTGCCTGGGAGCTCAGGCAGACCCCCTCTGCCCGATCCGGCCATCCCGTGCCATGTCGTGGGGTCCTCGTGATCACATGGCTGGAATAGCCGGCTTGTGCAGTGCCTGCAGGGGGAGTGCCTGAGCTCTCACACCTCATACCTGCACAAAAGTTTAAAAAGGAAATAAAAGTTATTATAAAGTTTAATAAAGTTAAAAAAATACTTAGATCATATATCTATTTTTATATATATATGATCTAAGTAGTTTTATATGTACATACACAAATTATTTAAAAAGTGTATTTTAATATTCTATATAATTTTATATATATTTTTTAATATTAAAATACACTTAGAATAACGTTCATTTTATATATATATATATATATATATATATATAAATTATATGTATATAAAATAAAAAGAATCAATAAATAAATGTAAAAAAAAATTTGGTTTAAATTTGTTTTAACTGTATTTTGATATTAATATACATACATATATATTTAAATCAAAATACATTTAGAATGACATTATAAATACATATCTCACTTACCATGTCTGCTATCCGTTTGCAGAGGAGTTCCACCCATCATATGAATAAATGACTGGTCCCATAAACCACAGCTAGACAGGACGTTATTGGATAAGAATAGACCCCACAGAAAGGAATAAGACACTTCTGATTGGAGCATCTCATTACAGTAACAGAGGTCTGCATGCAGCTACTAAATCAAGCATTTGCAGTGAACTTTAATGGCATCTAAATAGCAATTATATTTTAAAAGCATTTCTTTTTATTTTTATTATTTTAAATTTTGGTGTGTGCATTCAAACTGAATAAATAAAAATATATGATGGGAGGTAATGGATGGTAGGAAGAGTCATAGTGTGACTGGGTTGCTGATTGCACCTACCCAATTCTTTATGCTTTAAAGGTGATTTGCATGGATGTTGCAAAGATGTACTATGTCACACCCTGACTCATACATTGCATTGTCTGTGTATGTAGGGCCATCCACACTGACAGTGTGTTCATTAAAAGCCATTTGTGTGCTCCAGCCTACAGGCCACAAGTTGACAACACTTGTCTCAGGGATTTGATCCTAAAAGACGGGTGCCCAACCCAGTCCTCGAGTACCCCCTACCAGTCCAGGATTTAGGGATTATCCAGTTGTGTGTCTAAGGTGTTTTTAGAAGAAAAAAAAAACTTTAGACACAACAGGATAACCCCTCAATCCTGGACTGGAAGGGGGTACTTGAGGACTGGGTTGGGAACCCCTGCTATAAGAGCTTGATGAATTTCTCTAGAATCTAGGAGCCAGACATGTTTTTATTAAAACCCTTAAACCCACTGGTGGGACACTTACAAAGTTTCACCAAGCTCCAAAGGTTCTGCCATCTCTTTAGAAATAGCTAAATCGCAGTTTTCCCTTCTACATTAGATATATTAAATTAATTCCTATTTTGACAGAATTCATTGGTTGAAATTTGCCGTTTACACTTTCAGCCAATGAAATCCAACTAAAAACAGGTGGAACTGATGTCACTAATGGGAAAGTATAGATTTTTACTTTGGTCACATCTGAAGGGGGAGCCAGGCTGGAGGACCGGGTAAATGTCAAACCATTCAAAACTAGTTTGCCAATTACCCAGGGTATAGCACAATGAGGGTGCTCCTTTAACCCCTTAAGGACCAAACTTCTGGAATAAAAGGGAATCATGGCATGTCACACGTGCCATGTGTCCTTAAGGGGTTAAATGTACAGCCTATTAGGTAACATAGACAAATTTGGCTCTAATAATTGGTCAAACTAGCTACCATAGTGCCCTTCCAGTGTAAAGTAGTCAAACCGTTTAAGACTCAATTAAGAGTGATTTGACAACTTCCCTGAATCCTGCCAGGTGGGTGCCCATTTTCACCTCTCTCACTGCAGGAAGCTCTGCCATTGAGCAAAGTCTGGCTTAACTGAAACTCATGGACAATGAACGCAGCCATGCACCCTGGGCCTTGTTTAGTAAGGCTAATGGCCTTGCAGAAGCTC